GTCTTTGTATTCAAAATCTGTTCCAGGTGTTTTCTAATTCCTATCTTAAGTTTTGAAATTTGTTTCATTCAGTTTTTTGAAGTTTGTTTCCTATAAAATCAAAAAAAAAAAAAAAATCATAAAAACAGTTTTATTGTTCTTCCGCTGAATTATTTTGCTCGAATTTTATAAACTTCATAAAAACCCAAAAAAATATTTTGTCTTTTGATTCTGCTTTATTAAACTCTTAAAAACAATAAAAATATTTTCCTTAAATTAACAGATCATTTGTTAATTTTAAAAACAATTTTCCTTCAAGTGGTCAAAAACTGTTTAATCTGTTGTTCTTGTTTGCTTTCACTTAAAACCTCTCTTTGATTTGTTTTGATTGAAATTTTGCAAGGTACAATGGGAGATGTACCACCAGCAAACCCTCTACAATCAATGATGGCGATGATGCAGACCCAATTCGCAGCCATCAATGAGAATCTCACATCTCTAAACACAAGGATGCAAAGGATAGAAACTCCTGAGCGGCCACCTCCTCTTTTGCCAAGAAGAAATATTCCTGGAGGTCAACAAGATGCAAATGGTGTAGAGGATCCCCCTGATGTACCACCACCAGCTCTAGGCCTTGCACAACAGGCTCAAGAAATATTAAACAGGAGAAACAATGAAAGAAACAGGCCCTACAATGAAGATAGACACTTACCACCAGAAGTGAAGCTGCTTGCACCAACATTTGCTGGAAAACTAGATCATGCTGCTTACTTGGAGTGGGAGAGAAGAATGGAGCATCTTTTTGAGTACTATGCTTATACAGAGCCAAAGCAGATTGCACTTTCCATTGCTAGTCTCACTGATCATGCCTTATCTTGGTGGGACAGAGAAGTAGCTGAGAAGAGGAGGCTGAGATACCCTCAAAGGTGGAGAGGCAACCTTACCACTCACTGTATGAACTCTTACATTTAGCTGTTCAAAGGGAGAAGCAAATAAAAAAGAAGGCAACGTCGGTCAGATTTAGCATTATAATCTGATTCAGAAACATCAATGTTGAACCACTCGCAGAAGATAAGACATCCCCAATATAGCCTCATACCACCCCATTAGTATATCCACCATAAAATCTGAATTCCCTCCAGTTAAATCAATGAGAGAAGATAAACAATGTAAGTGGAATGATACTGCCAATACATAAATCGGGCTCTATGTTAGTAAAAACCAAAAAGGTAAATGAATATGAGGGTAGGTGAAGAAGTACATTATTATATTAGCGAGTTATATGTCTTAGATCAAGATTGAAGGCGATAAGACTAAAACCATATGTCATGATAATCTTTCAAAGGGTTTCTCACTATTAAAAAATGAAAAAAAAAAAAGTGTAAAAGGAGTCTCTTAAATAAAAAAATTTGAAATATATGACTTGAAAAATTCTTTTAACACTTGTATATTTAAGAGTAGTCCAAATTTCTTTTACAATTCAAATTCTAATAATATAATGAATTTATATTAAAAAAAAAATACATTGATAAAAAATTCAAAACAAATCTCTTACATTGTAGGTTATTGCCTCTTTGAGTTTCTTGAGGATTCGCTTAGCAGCTGGCGAATCCCCAGTAAATGTCTCATTGTAAACATTATTTGTATACTCAATTTGAAATTATAGTAGATATGAATTAATTAATGAATTTACTTCAAAACAAAATTATAAAATTTAAGATATTTAAAAATAAATTATTAAATTGTATAAATATATGTATTTCAAATTTTTAAAAATATATATATATATATATATTACGAAACACAATTATGTACAAAGTACATATAATTATAAAACAATAAATTTATGGTTAAAATAAATTTTATTATAATTATTAAAAAAATATTTAAAATAAAATTCTAAATTTTATTTTCGAGCAATGTTTTCATGAAGTTTGAGACGCCCAGTATATGCAATTAGGAAATCGGCTAGTATATTATGTTTGCAATTCACTATCTTTCCTTTTTAAGATTTTAAGAATCTTTTAAAAAATTATGTTAAAGTTTACGGAGCTAAAAAAATATCTAAGGTTTCTAAATTCTAAATTGAGATTTTCATTCTTATAATTATTCTTAGAGCAAATTCCAGTTTTTCGCTTTTAATTACAAATTCTAACAGAGATCACGTCAGACATCACAAAGAGAGACAATGATGATTTCCGATCTTCCACTGGATTTAGAATCGGAAATACTCTCTAGGGTTCTCCTAATTCTCTAAGCCAATTTCGACCTACTTGCAAACGATGGTACGCTTTATTCAAAGATCCGGGATTCTCTAAGAAGAACTCGGATAAAGCAGCAACGCAAGTGATTATCAAGAAAGATCGTACAGTTTATTCAGGCAGCATCAATTTCCATGGAATCCACAATGGCGTTGATCCATCTTTTGAGTTTACAGGTAAACTCAGTCTAAAGGATTCAGAACATGTCGAAATACGTGAAATCTTCCACTGCGACGGTTTATTATTGTGCACCACCTATAACCATAGACTCGTAGTTTCTAACCCTTGTACCGGTCAAACCAGGTGGATCCAACCCTTTAGTAAAGTATACAAAACTATGTATGTTCTAGGATACGGAAACATTGGTAGCTACAAAATCTTGAGCTTTGGCGTATATACCCTCAACGACCAGGCGGTCTCTGAGTTTGACATATATGAGTTTGACTCGGATTCATGGAGGGTTCTTGATGACGTCACTTCTTATGACTGGCAGGAGTGGGTCGAACTAGGTTATGGTGTGTCTTTGATGGGGAATACTTGCTGGTTCTGTTATAAAGAAAACAATCCGGATGATTACATAGGACTAAGAATAGTTTTTTTAATCTAGATGAATTGAAAACATTTTTTAGATAAGTTGTGGGCTTACTTATAGATTTTAATTTTGGTTATTTTTTTTTAAATGAGCTGTATTAATAAAATATTCTTATTGGTTGATTTTTTTGCTGAGATGTCATGTTGAGAAAGCCTGAAAAAACTTAGGTGTCCATCACCTTAAGAGACTTATGGATTATTATTGTGTTGATTTTTTTTTTTTTTTTTTTGTAAAATATTAATTGTTTTTTTTCTTTTGTGGATGACCAAGCGTAAAACGAAGTAGTTCTAAAATGATTTATAGATTCAGTTAGAATCGACCCCCCCCCCCCCCCCCCCCCAAAAAAAAAAAAGAGTAATAGCACAAAATAGCATAAGACCGGTAGTCAATTGAGTAATCGACATATGCTATTTATGCACCCAAACATGAAATTATTTTGTCACTTATGTTTTCGGTTTTGCCCTCACGCGCTCGATTGAAATAATATTTTCTTTTTCCTTTCAAATCCGAAATATATCTTCACAAAACTAGACGAAGGGATGTGTAGACCAGTAACACTTTTAGTTTATCTAAAATTATCAATCCACATCTTCTTCTCTCTTTTATCTCTTATTTTCATTCTTTCTTTATCACTGTGATACTTCTTCTCTTTGAATCTCTTGACTCCATTTTTTTTTCATTTCAACGAATTTGTCTGATGGTTCTAACAAGGCCAAGATGATCTCATCATCTATCTCCGATCCGACCACCACCGACCACCACCGACTTGGCCAAATCGTCACTCTCCATATCATTGTTGTTGTTCTAGCTAATCGCCCACATGCACCTCCGAAAATTATCTCAGACAATCAATACACAATAAGATCTGAGGTTACAGAGCCATCAACTTCTCTATTGAGACCTAATTTCTGAGATTATCCATTTTTTCACATGTGAGATCTTATTCTCACACTTTTTGTTGGGTTCTCAAGATCAAATTCGCTCGATCTCGCTCTATTGATTGTTTAGTTGAGCGATCGCTCTAATCAATCATTTTCAAGCTAATTCTTTGATTTTATTATCACACATGTCAGATGTTTGTATATATCGTATGTTGTACATATGTATGCTATGTCGGTTTATGTAAGCTTATTTTACTTTTTGCACATCTACAATACCTTGTATATCCATCATATCAAATAACACTCCAAAGTAAATATCTATGACCATCCATCAGTGTTACTGGACAACTACAATACCTTGTAGATTTACATATAGTACACTCATTTATGAACATAAAAGCTATCAGCTCAAACAACACGATATAATATAATTTACGTGATCTACCTCGTACACTAACCACCCATCATAACAAATAACCCTCCAAATACGATAATAACTCTCCATCAATGTTAGTAGTCAACTATAACACTTTGTAAACTTATATTTTATTCACTATACTCATGTATCATTATAAACCCCTATCATATCAAATAACACGTTATAATATATATATATATATATATATTTGTCATGTATACAAAATATAGAATTAGAAGCAGGAACTAGTACTTATGGACAGTCCATAAACCTAGGTGTGCCCATATATTTTAGTGTCCCCTTCCGCTCATCGAAATTTCTTGTTGGAACATTACATATGGCATTAACTCTCCATCACCTATGTCCGTATCATGCTTACGTAAGGCGGTGGCGAATCTATATTGTCTCCTTATTTAATATCAAGCCCAACGTCAGGTTTAATTGAAACCATAAATGTCCACATATCTAATTCATTCATCAGCTTGCTCACGCGTACTCGATGGCAATAAACGTAAATAAACGAAGTCTCGAATTACTGTTCATCATCCTTTAACTGATTCTTTCTAGCTCATTTGGATATTGCTATTTACCTAATAAAAACCTCATCATTTACCATCCACCTTTTTATCCCAAAAAAAAAAACTTTGTGAGTTTATTATAGGTAATCAAATAAGTTATGTGATTAATAATGACTGTTTGGTATTAGAGAATAAAGAACAATTTGTTGGAACTTAACCGAACTAGGCCGAAGACAAAAAACAAAGAAATTCTACATCACACGATCCAATAACATATAAGCTTTAAACCCCAACACAAATGAGAAAAAACCGAAAAGACAAAGAATGAAAGAATAATATTCAACCAAACATCCTCAATCTTAAGTATATCAAGATCACAACTTCTAGAGAAAGAAACCAAAAACGAAAACAATTTTAAAAATGTATCAATACTTATATCGTAGTAGCTTCAATTAGAGAGTAAGGCAATTTCCTCAAATCTTTACAGTTAAAGAATCCCAAAAAAAGAAGAAAAAAAAACCATGCAATTTTTCTTCCCCCTTACGGTTTAATGAGAAGGTCCACCGTAACCTTGACCAGCTTGTTTAAACTTCCCCATCTCCATTTCGCGTGTGGTTTGTCCCTCGCTGCTCGAACCAGACGGGTACAGTCCATAGTCACTGGTCGGGTTACTGTACTCGCCGGTCGTATTGTACTGTTGAGTCCCAAGTGCCATTTTCCTAAACTTCTTCATGTCTTCATTGTATTGGCTCGAGTCATAATCGGTGCTTCCTCCATATGAACTGTATACATTGCTGTGACCCGGTCTCATCCCTTCGTTCAAATCCGACAACGATACGTTTCCTTCTAACGCACGCACAATCTGCTCGTTTGCAACATACCAAAATCATTAGTCTAATCTGGCGGCAAAAGGTATAAAAACCGAACCGGGCCGATATTTCTCACTGAAACACATAGGGCTGTTGAATCCGGATTAACAGAACCGATCTGATCCGAACCAAACCGAAATAACTGATTTGTAAACCGAACCATATCTCAATTGTAATACTAAAAGGATGATTGTGGTCAAATGAAGTTACCTGGCTCATGCGAGGTCTACGGCGAGCTGAATGTCGAACGCAAGCCGCAGCACAAGCAACCATACGAGCCATCTCCTCTGGGTCATACTCATTATTCATCTTTTTATCAGCCAAACCCTCAAAGTCACCTTCCTCAGATGCTCTGTTAAGCAACGGTCGTGCCTGTTTTCACATCAGTTCACACAGAGCATTTGCTTCATTTTACAGTCACATTGCGAGAAAAGGTCATGTAAAGGTTAGATTTTTTCAAGTCAAGAGTAAGTACCCAATCAACTAAGCTGTCGTCTACATATGCATTGTTTGCATCAACAGGACGACGTCCGGTTATGAGCTCCAAAAGTACAACTCCGAATGAGAAAACGTCTGACTTCTCTGTTAGCTTTCCGCTTGCAGCGTATTCCGGAGCTAAGTACCTAAATCCCAAAGCCAAAAAGTCTCAGAAAACCGAGCTTATTCGCCATGAGAAGTTAAGCTTTTCAAGATTTATCTTCTTTACCCGAAAGTACCCATCACTCGTGTAGATACATGAGTGTTTGTATCAGAAGCAATCTTGGCCAGACCAAAATCAGCAACCTAAGAGATAGAACATAACTTCTTCAGTGATACAAAACTACAAAAGAACTTCACAAACATATTGGATAAGAGACACATCATACATACCTTAGCTTCAAACTTGAAATCCATCAGTATGTTTGCCACCTTGATATCACGGTGAATGATTTTAGGATTGCCTGCAAATATATACACATACATAAGCCATATAAACAAACATAGACTTATACATATTTCTCAAAAAATTTGGGACTTACAATCTTCATGAAGGTATGAAAGTCCTTTAGCAGATCCAAGAGCAATCTTCAATCTCGTGCTCCATTCCATTGTAGGTCGTCCTTTCCCTATAACAAATTCAAATCATCACTAATGAAAACAAAACAGAGTAAATGTTCTGTCACAAGGAAAGAGTCTAGCTTTTTCTCTAACCATGTAGGTGAAACTCGAGATTGTTGTTGGGAACAAACTCATAGACAAGCAATCTTTGAACACCGGCCATGCAATAACCGACAAGAGACACCAGATGCTTGTGGTGAACTCTGCTGATGATCTCAACCTCTGCCTGAAACTCTCTCTCTCCCTGACCACTCCCAGCTTTTAACTGTTTCACAGCGACTTCTTTCCCACTAGGCAATATCCCTTTGTGCACGAAACCGAACCCTCCTTGCCCTAACAAGTTAGCCTCAGAGAAGCCATTGGTGGCTCTCGAAAGCTCCTCGTAAGTGAAAGTGCTCTTGGAGAAGCCTAACACAAGCCCTGGAGATGGTGGAGGGAGGATCGGAAGATCTGAGTAATCCGAACCGCCGCTGCTGTTCATCAAAGGCGGTGGTGGAGGCGGCGGAGGTGGTTGAGAAGGTGGCTTTGGTGGTGCTGGAAGTGCCGACGCGACGTGAGCTGGCGGTTGCGATTCGTTTTGTTGCTGCCAGTATTGTTGCTGTCCACCGTAATGTCCTCCTCCAGCTGAGAAAACAGAGGAAAATTCAAATCTCAAATTCTATACGCAGAACGGAAAAGTTTGAAACTTTGTAAACAAGTGGAGATCTTTTCCACAAAATGCAGATTAACAAATCTGAAATTGGACAAATAAGCATGCAAAAAAAAAACAAAAAAAGCCTGATTTTTTTTTTCTTGGGTAATTACGGAAATGAGGAACAATTACGGTTCAAGATTCGATTTTGATTTGGTTGAAGATTCGATTTTGAGATTGAAGTCTCTACCTTTGTGACCAGGAGGAGGAGGGGGAACATAGTAAGCAGCTTCATCGTCTCTTCGTCGTTTTTTTTTACAAAGGAGACAAAGCATAGTTAACACAACAAGCACAGCGACTCCTCCTATGGCGATTCCAACCACTACTCCTGTTGATAATCCGGAAGAGGAAGACGGCGGCGAAGAGTTTGATGAAGGTCGAGAATTAGATCCTCCTCCTCCTCTGCTTCCTCCTCCTCCTCCTCCTCCGCTTGAGGGATTCGACGGTGGTCCTAAGCTTGGAGATGTAGGGGTTCGAGGGGTGGATCTAGGAGGAGCTGAAGATCCCGGCGGATTTGAGGGAGGGGTTGGAGACGGAGGAGGAGATGTTGAATTACTAGATGGCGACGGCGGAGGAGATGTTGAATTAGTAGACGGCGGCGGAGGAGAGGGGGGAGGTGTGGTCGGAGGAGGAGAGGAGGCTGGAGGAGGAGAGGATGTGGTGTTTGAGGGTGGAGACGGTGGAGACGGAGGAGATGGTGTCGGAGACGGCGCTGAGGACATTTTTGCTTCGATCTAATCGAAAAGATGAAGAAGAGAGGGAGAGAAGAAGAAGAGAATGGAGGAATGTTGAAACAAAGCGCCTAGAAGTGATCTGGTGCCACCGAGCCTAGAGTAATGAGTTTTTTTGGTTTCGGAATTTGGACAACGGAGCTGTTTTGCGGTCCCACACGATTCCTCCGCGTCATTTCTTTTTACGTTATTCTTTCTTTTTTTAACGCCCGCGTAGGTTTTTGGATAATTTTTTGGACTTCAAATCTCAATTTGGAAACTAAATATACTTACTATCATTAGAGAGTAGATTAAATAAATATAATTTCAGTCAGCAGCTTGATAAATATCTCTATATACGATGTTCCAAAAAATTCATAAAATAAAAATAATTAACTAATACTGTTGTTAGAAAAATTGTCATTTTCAAGTTTCTCGTCTAACAATACTAAATTTTTTTATTTCCTCCACATCACTTTTGGTTTAGTGAGATTTTTAGTTATTAATATAACATCATCAATTCACCAAACAAAAATATAACATCATCAAAAGATAAAAGCTAATGTTAAAGTAGGAGAAGGGAGGAGCGATCTGGTGCCACAAAGTTTAATTAAAATTGAATTCAATAAAATCTCACATTTCTCTCTCTCACATCGTGAAATTTTTTTAAAAATTATTATTTTTGAAAAGCTTTTGTTTAATGTCCATTAAAATAGTATATTTGACCACTATGTGTATGCTTAATTTTGTTTAGGAAAAACTATATCCATTAATATACCATCATGATAAAAAAAAAAAATGTTGAAAAGAGAAAATGTTGTTGGATTCATCTGTTTTCTCCGAAAAATCATTCAGTCACTAAAAAGGTTTTCTACCGAATTACTTTTTTGTAATTAACGTTCCTAGATTTGAGTTGAGGAATTAAATATACACAAAATGTACTTTTACTTTTTTTTGTTTAGAAAACGAAAGTGGTATATGACAATTGACCTTTGCATAATGGGATGTGGACTGAAATATGCATTTAATGAGGACACTGAATATAATTCCATTTTTTTAGGACCAGAAATAAAGATGTTAAATTAGATCTTCTACCAAGTTTTATTTTTGCCATCATATTCTCTACTATCTTAAACACGGATGAATCATGAAAAAAAAAACATAAAAATGGCAAAAAAGTAATGTGAAATTGTAATTATTTACGAAAAACAAGGAATATATGTGCTAAAGGGTAAATAAATGATATGATGTCGATGTATTCGTCTGAACACAATATTTTTAAAAATGCAACAAATTATTTAAAAATCTTTGCCTGGACATTGATTGTTCTTAGAATACTATAAGATTTGCATTAGAGGAGAATGTTGAATGCGTAATATAAATTTGTGTGTATGTGTAGAAAACAGTTGGGACTCTTCTTGCTCCAAAGCAAAGGAAACAACAGCTGGAGTGCACTAAACACAAATTCATGGCCACCTAATACATTGACGTTTCCCCTAATTTACTATTGTTATCTCTAAAGGCTGAAATCAATTTATACCAAAATAATCCATATTAAAAGTGAAACAGACGACCAAGAAATATTGTTATTAATCAAATTCGGTTAAGGTTCTCACTACCACGTCAATTATATTATGGGGGTCAGTCTCCAGATTTCCGGATGACTTTCCTCATTAGATAAACTAAATAAGTTTATGAAAGTAATTATTATTATTATTATTATTATATCTGGTTTCGGTCAATAGCCTATTATTTGATTTATGTATTTTTAATTTAAAATAACCTCACGACACGCTTCGAATTTAATATAAACATTCAACGCAGCGTAATTACGAGGATAATTTGTCAAATTTGGTTTTGTGATTTTTTTTGGGTTGTTTTGTCAAATTGGTTCCACTCCGGCGCTTTTTATTTGTTAAACAATAGTATAAGACAAATATTTTGGTTTGAATATATTGAACTGGTTTTATTTTACCAAACCAAAAATCAAACGAAGTATGGAAAAGTCGTAAGAAAAAAAAACCTAAATTTTTGATATAACAAAAAGATTACGCTTCGAAGTTCAAATTAAACTAAATACAATGAAAAATGCTTAAACAATACTGTTATAAAATATTTTTTTAACATACAATAATTATATATTTGAATACTATAATTACATACGTTAAAAGATGGTCCTGCTAAAAGAACTAACAAAATGTTAATTAGCTCTGGCCTCTGGGATAGTTTATATGTGTAAAGCTTTTTTCTGCCTCCGATAATAATAATTATGTCCACCCAAATGATATTAGCGAAGCTGAGAACATTTTCAACCACAACACTAAGTACCGCACTAAATATAATATGACACTGTTCACAAAATACCAAATTTGGTGTTTTGGTGTTAAATATGCAGTTGGATTGGAGTGAATCTGAGAATAAATTTGGTGTTTTGGTGTTGGGTTAAAGATGACCTTAGATAAATCATAGTCTAAAAACTCTGATTATCACTACCATACTATTAAGGTATGATATTCAAGCGATTTGTACACAAATTTTTTAATTGGTCCTCGTTAAACCAGAATATTATCTATGTTAATAAATAATAGATAGCTGTAAATTTTGGAAAATATTTTTATCAAAAATTCAAAGGCTGGAAGAATACAAGGAAAGTGTGACCTGTCAAAGTGAATAAAAGCGTTTAAAATTATAAACTATATAGCTTAGAACTTTAGATCTTGTTCTTCTACTTTTTAGGGATTTTGGATTGGTCTTTAAACTATCAAAAAAATTTTATTTATAAGATTAAGAAGTCAGCTACATCAAACTCTTTTTTCTTTTGTCTTCTAGGATAATTCATATATTTCAAATATAAAAAAAAATTTCTTCTGATTATATGAAGATCTATTAAATTGGCGTGATTCTCCTTATTTTGATGGATTTGGATTATTGCTAAAGAAAACTATCTAAAAAATGTGATCGTTTTTTCTCTAACAATCTTTCATTATTATTAAGTACATGATGCAAATACCTAACAAATCACGTCTAAGATGGCTAATCTAATAGAAAATATATATATTTTGAGTGAATATTAATCTCTGCTAAATATTATGCCATGGTGGCAAAGTCTCATATTATTTATAGTATCCGTAATAAACAAAATAAGGAATAATAGTATAGTACTGACGATGTAAATTTTGTTTTATGAGAGACTATAGGTGAATCTTGTAAGTGGGGGAGATGGAGTCTCTCTATTATTGTGGGTTGTGCCGTTGTGTGGAGTGGGGGGCACTGTGTAACGAGAAGACGAGAGGAATAAGCGAGATAGCAAAAATGATCTGCATATTGCATATTAAGATTTATTTACAGAAAAAAACAAGCGAAATTTTTGTTTTTCAAAAATCAACTTGAAAATATTACAAAACGTGTGAGTGGGGCTGCGGGATAATATAGAAAAGTAGGGTGTCACATGGGGACACTATGATTATTTGGTATAAGATTATGCCTCTCACCTCCTAATATTCTCTTATTTTTAGTCTTTTTCCTTTAAATTAAAGCTGTCAAGTGTCAACACCCAAAAAAAAACACAGAAGCTTAACTCTACTTTGGACCCATCGCCCATTCTCCTTAGTCTATATTGGCTTTTTCTAAATTGATTTTATTATACAGAAAAGTGCTCCTTTTTAATTGGGAAGTCCATTCCATTTCCATCGTAAACACCAATGTACATTTGTTGGAAAACGGTATGATATGTTTTGGAGGATAAAGTATACATAAACGTTTTGTGGTGATATTTTATTGTTAGCCAGATACTCTTTTCGGCTTTTGATATTAGTGACTATCGAATGGATGAGAATGACTAAAAACATTGTGGATAACCAAAAAAGGATTTACGCATATTTTGTTTTATTTTCCGCATTGATTGGGGGTTTCAATGTACTTTCGTAACTTGTTTTTTTAACATCTTCGATAGGCTTTATTTTAAGTATCTATACGCATCAATAGTAATTAGGTATCTATATAATAATTAGAATTACACTTAAATTCACATATCTCTTACCACATTAGCCAAAGTCAGATGAATGGCCAAGATTAAAAAGTTTCACCAATGAGTTTTGTAAAGATTTGTGTACAAAGGAGAAGAAATCTTCAAGCATCCTTTACTTTTAAAAGTAGATTATCAAATCAAGTTGCAGATGCTATAGCCAATAAGCCCAAGAATGCTCTCTCTTTTTCTCTGTATCATGCTGTTTTAGAGAATTATACTTCACATTAGTTAAACCCAATAGTTAAACAAGGATAAGCAATTTGATTGTTATCAGTTATGATTATATAAATGGCCTAAGTTTAAGCTGTTAGGAAAATACGCAGCTACAGCCGACTTTTTGTTTATTAAAATTTAAATGTGTTAGAAAAATATGATTGATCAAAGGAGCGCTTTTGGGTCTAATCGGGTTACTAGCAAGTTGTTACACAAGTTAGACCCAGGCAAGTTTTGGGCCATTACGAAAGCTGTTAAGAGTTATTAATTAGTTACAAGAACAGAGTATAGAAGGAGAAGAGAGGACCCGTGAACTGATCAGCTTGAGTAGCCTTCTTTTAAACGTCTCAATTAGTCTTGTAGTCTTCCTCTTTCTTACGCATTTTTTTTGTTTAACAATTGCTTCCATTAATCTTAAACTGCCAAATTACATGAAATCTAGGAAATTATCATCTTTGATCACAACAACAAATTACAAAAACTATATAACATAAAACAGATAAGACTTTACAGAAGAATGACAGCGAACTAAAGCAAAAGTTAAAATGCGTCCAAAGAACAATCTCAGCAAAACTAGACTGAAAAAGGTTAGTCACTTTAAATTGTGACTTTGAACACCTCCGCAATTCAACAAAACGAATTTGATTGTATCTTCTAGCCCCGTACAAACCGCTACACAAAAAACAAAACGGCAACAAAATTGACAAAAATTCTCAGCATTGATACCCAAAAAAGAACTTCTCTCATAAAAGAGGACAAGGTAGTAAGGTTTTCTCCCAGTGGAAGGAAAAAGGAATAGATCTCTCCTTGGAAAGAGAGGAAAGTAAAGCATAATATTCCCTAATAAAGAAGGAAATTAACAAAGTTTTTATCCACCATAAAAGCTTAGAGATAACTTTTAACTTGAAACCACAAAAAATCAATTTATCACATGGTATATCACCAACCCAACCAAGCCAATCTTACACTTTTGTGGGAGGTTGAAAATGGATCTAAGAAGACGACCGGAAGAGTAACACCAATGCCAGATAAAAGAGAGAAACCTCCATTTATACCAGCAAGATAAAAGAGAGAAACCTCCATTAGAGAGTTCTTGTAAAAACCTTTGAGAGAGTAAATTCTTTTGTAACCCGAGTCTCGCAGAAGAAGTACAGGTAACAATTTCAAGAACTCGATAAACTCGTGGTGCCAAGATTCTCTAGTTACAGTTTCTGGTTCGTTGTTCAATATTGTTCTTTCATTCTCTAGTTAAAGAAAAGAAAGGAAAAGAATGAAAGAATAATATTCAACCTCAGTTTGATTATACCACAACTTCTTGGGAAAATACACCAAAGAGAAAAAAAGAAATATACAAAATCAAATTATATTTCCTAAAATCTTTACAGTGAAAAAAGATCCAAAAATCTATGGACGATCCGAACGTTACATTCCATAGCCACTGGTTGAATTGCTGTACTCGTCAGTCATGCACGTTGTACCCTCAAGTTTAGGGGTGGGCATTTTATCCGGATCCGAAGATCCGATCCGAAACCGATCCGAGAATATCCGATACAAATCGGTTCGGATCCTCTAAAATACCCGATCGGGTGCAATTGTCACTAATTTTCGGGTACCGGTTAATAACCGAATCGAACCTAGATCTGAAAGAAGTATCCGATGTATCCGACATTCAGAGTTCATGATTTGTTTTTCTGATTCTTGCCGATTTGCAGTTCCCTTATTCTTGTTGATTTGCAGTTTCCATAATCCTGAATTCCCGATCTTCAAGCAAAACAAATAAACAATTTCTGGAAACATAAATCAACAAAACTGGATTCCATTAATCTAGCAGCCACCTCTCTTCCTTCCGAGACTTCAAGAAATCAAACCCAGTCTCAGGTATGAAATTCTTAGCTACTCAAACTAATTATATCAATTTAGAGTTGGATTTTGTTCGTCTTATATTTGAATATTGTTCGTGTCTCTGTTTTTGTTCGTCTTATTTTAAATATTTTTCGTGTCTCTGTTTTTGAGCTTTTGTACTTAGTTTGATTTATATTATTTAGCTCGATTTAGATTGTTGTGTTTCTATGTGTTGTGTTTCAAATACATTGTTTGTTTATAACTATCAAGTGCTCGAAGCAACTCTAACCAAGCGATTGATTGAGTTTGGAAATACCGAATCTGGAAGTTTAAAAGTGAGTTAAGGCTAAGAGTTTCTTGTCGTGAAATTGTTTGCTAACTGTTCATATCATCGCATATGATTGATGCTGGATCACTTGCTAGTATCTGGTTTTGGAGTCATAGTAGTTATAAGAATGCATACTCTTACGTTATTGGTTGATGTCATATGCAATAGTAAAATATGGGATGATCTTTTCTTGCGTCATATCATTTGTAGAATATTTTATTTTTTAAAATGGTTTCTCATGTGTGGCTAGGTTGATGAGCTCACAGAAAGAGAAAGGGAAATGCATAAACCATATGTGAATTATATTCTAGAGACCAAGTCAATTTGTATAGTCATTAAACCATAAGATTTGATACACAACTTCTGTTTTCTTGCTTCTGTTTTACAATGGCCGACTTCTGCTTTTTTGTTTGTTTATGTGAACATGTATGATTTTGTGTTATTACTTATTAACATTACAATCTTTAGTGTTGTTAACTTCTGTGTTGTTTCTTGTTTATGCGAATATCTCTGCTTTTTTCTTTACAATATTTAGTGTTATTAACTTCTGTTTTCTTGCTTGTTTATGCAAATATCTCTGCTTTTTTCTTTGTAGATGGGGAGTTCATCATTTCCAGATCCCGAAACTCAAGAAAGTCAGAAAACTGAAGAACCTGAAGAAGTGATTAATAATCAAGGGAAAAGAAAGAAAAGTGGAGTTACTTCTAAGTCATCTAAGCCAAAGAAGCAACCGACTACAAGATCTCTTGTGTGGAATAATTTTACCAGATTAAAGGATGATCAAGACAAATGCAAATGTGATCACTGTCTGCGTGTTTTTGGTTGTGCAACTTCAAAAGGGACTTCAAACGTAAAGAAACATTTGTCAACCTGTAAGAAGTATCTGGCGTTTGAAGAAGCGAGTAAAGCTACAGATACAAGAGTTGTTACTAAAGATGGAAAGATGAAAGATGCAAAGGTTTCGTTTGAGGTTTTCAAAGAAGCTACTGAGGGGATGCTAGTGTTGGGAGAGCTACCACTTGCATTTGCTGAATCTCTAGCTTTCAGATGGTTCTGCGAGAAGGTTAATCTCTACACACCTCATTCAAGAAGAACTGCTACAAGAAACATTGTGAAGATGTATGAGCAAAAGAAAGCGGCTCTTAAGGAGTATATTGTAGCCAACAAGCAGCGAGTGTCACTTACTACTGACATATGGGTTGCTCAAGTTACAGGGAATAGTTATATGGTGGTTACAGTGCACTTTATTGATGCAACTTGGCAGTTGAGAAAGCTGATTATCGGGTTTAAGTACATCACTGATCATAAAGGGATGACTATTTCGAGAGTTCTTCTAGAGTGTTTGGCTGAATGGGGAATAGAGAAGATATTTTGCATCACGGTTGACAATGCCACTGCCAACACATCTGCTCTCAAGAAGTTTAAGGGCGAGTTCAAGTTACAGAACAATGAAGCATTGGTTTTAGATGGGGAGTTCATGCACATCCGATGTTGTGCACATATTATCAATTTGATTGTCAAGGATGGTTTGATTGAGTTAGATGATCATATCTCAGCAATTCGCAATGCAGTGCAGTATGTGAGGTCTTCTACAAATAGGTTAAACTCCTTTGATAGTCGGGTTGAGACAGGGAATATAAGTAGAGGGAGTTTGCCTTTCGATATCAAGACAAGATGGAATTCAACCTACTTGATGTTGCTGCAAGCTCTTAAGTTTAGAGCTGCGTTTGATAGAATGGAACTTGAAGACAAGCTCTACAATGACTATTTTATGGAATTGGAGAATAATGTAAGAAGGATTGGACCTCCTTTGTATCACGATTGGAGAGCTGTGGAGAGGTTAGTACAGTTTCTTATTATTTTCTACAACTCCACTTTAGTTGTCTCTGCATCTACTACTATTTGCTCTTATAAGTGCTATGGTGAGATAGTGACTATAGAGAGAAATCTGATGAATAAGAGCAATAGTCTAGACAGAGAGTTAGCAGAAAAAGTTGATAATATGAGGGTAATGTTTGATAAGTATTGGGACGGAATGAAGAATATCAATAGGTTATTGATTGTTGCTAGTGTGTTTGATCCGAGTAAGAAAATGAAATTTGCTAAGCTTTGTTTTGAGCGGCTTTATGGCAAAGATACGACAGACTATAAAGCAATGATTCAATCAACACAAGATGTCTTGAAATCTATGTTTGATGAGTATAGTCTCCGGTTAAAGAAAGAACCGACTGTGTCAGCATCTCAGATGACTCAGACATCATCTTCTAGTGGCCAAGAACATGTTTTAGGCAGTGAAGCTATGGATTTAGTGAATGATGATTTGGGATATGAGAGGATGGATTTTGTTAACAAGGAAATGGTTACTGAAATAGGTGTTGAGACAAGTAACGAGCTGGATACATATCTCAGAGATGCTGTTGAAAATCCTAAAACTTTGCTTGGAACCGAGTATGATGTTTTGTCTTGGTGGAAGGTTAATGTTGACAAGTTCCCAATATTATCAGAAGTAGCTAGAGATGTTCTTGCAATGCAGGTGTCTTCTGTTGCATCTGAGAGTGCATTTAGCACTAGTGGGCGAGTCATTGATCCATACAGAAGCTGCTTAACTCACTACATGATTGAAGTGTTGATGTGCACAGAGCAATGGATGAAGTGTGAGATAAAAATGACTGAGAAAAGAGTGGCTACAAACGCTATTCTTCTTGCTGATGCTGATTTACACACATAGCTTGAAAAAAGTGAGTTCTTCTTTTAGTTCAAATCATTATTTATATTTTTATCTTTTCACTTTTAAATTTTAACATTCAGATGTTTTATTCTTTTTAACTATTTTCCAGAGTTTTATGGAGGAATCAAGTAGATTTACAAGAGAAGATGGCCTCAAGGTAACATGTTCTCTTAATATACAATTATACATAATGTGGCCTTATTGTTTTGTTGAACACATTAATAGTATTGTGTTTTTAAGTTATGTTGCAGTATCTTTGCCAAAGCCGTTCAAAGAAAAGCTTTCTTAATACATTGTTGTTTTTCGATTTAGTGACAATAATAGCAAGGGCTAACTTGATTTGAATCATTCGAACTTATGTAACAGGGACTTGGGAATATGGAAAAACTGAAGTGTTATACCTTTTGAGGCTTGAGGCATATGTTTCTTTGTTTTCTTTCATTTTATGCAATGAGATGTTTCTTTGTTCTGTTTTTACCAAGTTCTGAATATTTAGATTGATCATTGATGTTTACATTTTGTTGGTTTGGTTAATTTTAAATTTCAGAATTTTGGGTTTTTCAATTATTTTCGGTTCTTTTCGGATACTTTCGGTTTTTTAAGTACTATTTCAAATAAGTTTATATGAACTCGAACCGAACCCGCAATACCCGAAAGAAAACGGATCCAAAATTAAGTATCAGAACCGATCCGAACCCGAAAAGTACCGAATCGAATCTGATCCGAATTTTGAAAATACCCGATCGGTATTAATTAACAGATTCCCGAAATACCCGAAATCCGAAATATCCGACCCGAACCGAACCGATAACCCGAACGCTCCCCCCTACTCAAGTTCCAAGTGGCACATTCCTAATCTTTTTTCTTGTCTTCATTGTCTTGGCTCGTGTCATAACTTGTCCACAATGCTGTGACCCGGTCAGATCACTTCGTTTAGATCTAAGGGAGATACGCTTCCATCTAGCACACGCACCACCTGCTCATTTTTTTTACACCAATCACTCACTCGATTAGCATTATTAACATTTTAATTGACTAATATCGCATATAAGAAAACATGTTGCCCATTATTCGGTTGGTCAAATTTGTTTTTATTCAAGTGGTTATATGCAGTAAAATTTAGAGATACGCATAAACACCGAACCGAACCAAAATTAATAAACCTGAACAGTAAAAACGGTTGGTTTTTTTATGGTCCGAGCATATATCTTAGTTACAAAACTAACACTAAGTTGAATTGCTAATAATAACACAAAATTTTATATCAAAGAGCTAAATACTAGAAATAACGAAATCGAAACTCTAAATTAAAAATTAGTGAACCTAAATATAATGTTTTAGTTTTATTGGTAATTTATTTAGAGTAAATAAGTATTTTTTTAGTATAAGAATAGTGTGCTATGTTTGGATGTTTAAATTTGGTATGCTAAGTTTGGAACAAAAACTTAAAAAATGTTATTCTAGTTTAATTCATATTATAAATATAGTTAAAGTATACAAACTATAAATAATTGTACTTAAAATTATTTACTTATTTATTATTTGGTTCAAAACCAAGAAAATGCAAAAACTGAAATGAACTGAAAATCTGTTGGTTCTTATGCATACTTCAAAACCGAAAAAACCAAATGCCATCCATAGAGATAAGAATGATGGAGTTACCTGGTCCATGCTAGGTCTGCTGCGAGCTATATAGCGAACACAAGCTGCAGCACAAGCAACCATGCGAGCCATCTCTTCTCTGTCATACTCATTTATTCATCTTTGTATCAACCAAAGCTTCAAATTCTCCCGTCACAGATGCTTGGTCAAGCAACGGTCGTGCCTGTGTCCAATTGTATATTCACTCATAGCTTTAGTAGACAGACTAATTGTAAAAAACATGGGAAGGTTATATTAGTATAGGTCTAATTCACATTCAAAAAATAGCTAAATAATAGAGGCTTTTCATATATTTATGTATTGTCTATAAATCTCTTAAAGTTTTGATGTGAGATAATTCTGATATATATTTCTCTGACTCATGATTGTACATAAGTTTGTGGAATTCGATATCCACAAATGTGCTTCACAATAGAAAAATTAGAATATGGTTGTCTGATACTATATAAGTAGGGACCTAATTTACATAAAAAACCTATCTCAAAAATTAGAATGGTATATATATTAGGGTTATTTATTTAAATAGACTATTTAGCAATTTTATTCCAAAAAATGACTTCTCATAAAAAAATTATAAAAGGGTTCAGTAGTTTATCTTCAATCTGCCATTATTCTACTATTAATTTACATTTATTTTACTATTAGTTTGAATTTAATCTACTTTTATTTATATAATTAGTTAGTCTATCACTAATCTGCATATAATCTGCTATTAATCTATCTGAAAAAGTAGTTAGAAAGTAGCGTTGATATATATAAAATAATTTTAATTCTTTTGCAAATATGCGATTCTAATTATTTTAAAGCATTTCATCTATATATTATTCACAAATCTCCTAACGTTTTAAATGTGAGACAATTGTAACATGTCGTTATATGAACTATCCAATAAACAGGTTATAAGATTACTTGTGGTTATATAAATTAACCAATCAACAGGTTACGATTATTTATCGTTATATGAATTACCCAATCAACAGGTTAAGACTATTTGTCGATATATGAATTACCCAATCAACCAAGTTGTCATCTCCATTGGCATTGTTTGCATCAACAGGGCGACGCCCAGTTATTAGCTCCAAAAGTACAACGCCAAATGAGTAAACATCAGACTTTTCTGTGAGCTTTCCGCTTCCAACGTATTCCGGAGCCAAATACCTATAAAATCTCAAAACCAAGAGTTCCATAAATTGTACATAAGTATATACATTGCGCAAACTTCATAAATGTACATATTTAGTTTCAAAGATTATGTTTTACCCAAAAGTTCCCATCACGCGTGTAGAAACATGAGTGTATGTATCCGGAACAATCCTCGCAAGACCAAAATCAGCAACCTAAAAGATAGGAAGAGATCTTTAGTGACACAAAATACAAATATACTTCACCAAATATACTTCAGCAAGTTACATATACAATGCCTTAATGGGAAAAAATGAGAAATGATAAATCATACCTTTGCTTCAAATTTGAAATCAATCAATATGTTTGCCGCCTTGATATCACGGTGGATGATTTTAAGATTGCCTGCAAATATATATATTGCATCATAAACATTCAAATATTTAGTAAACAAACTACAATACATATTTTTTCAGATCCTAGACTTACAATTTCCATGAAGATACGACAATCCTTTGGCAGAACCAATAGCAATCTTCAACCTTGAGCTCCATTCCATTGGAGGCCGTCCCCTCCCTGTCACAAATTCAATTCCCAAAAAAAAAGTCATCACTAGTTGAAAACATGGAATAAACTATAGAAGAGTTTTAGTTCTTGTCTCTAACCATGGAGGTGAAACTCAAGATTGTTGTTAGGAACAAACTCATAGACAAGCAATCTTTGAGCACCGGCGATGCAATAACCGACTAGAGCAGCCAAATGCTTGTGGTGAACTCGGCTAATGATACCGACCTCTGCCTGAAACTCTCTTTCCCCTTGTTCACTCCCTGCTTTCAACTGTTTCACTCCGATTACTTTTCCATCACGCAATACACCTTTGTACACGTATCCGAACCCGCCCTGACCTAAAAAATTGGCCTCAGAGAATCCATTGGTGGCTCTTTTTATCTCATCGTAAGTGAATGTTCCTTGATAGACGCCTAACACAAGCTCTAGAGATGGTGGAGGAAGAGCTGGATGATCCGATGATGGGTAGTTTGAGTCGGCGACGCTGCCGCTGCTCAGAAAAAGTGGTGGACCTGGTGGTGGAGGAGGCGGAGGAGGTTGTTGCGGTGGAGGGAGAGGCTTAGGTGGTGGAAGTGACGTCACCACTTGATCTGACGATCGTGATGCGTTATTCAAGATCTTTGTTTTACCTTTAGGAGAAGTTGGTGCTTCATGGTCTCTTCTTCGTTTCTTTATATAAAGGAAACAAATTAAAATCAATGCTACAAGCACAGCGACTCCTCCGATGGCAATCCCGACAACCAACCCCGTTGATACTCCTTCAGAAGACGGCGATGGTGGTGATAGAGGGCTCTGAATCACATCCGAGGGTTCCGGTGTTGGAAGAGGCGACGGAGATGGGGATACGCTTACGCTGGGAGTCGGCGGAGATAAGACTTTTTCATAAGTACGATCCGCCGGTGACAGCTTCGATGGCGATGACATCTTGTTCGATCTAATCATAGACAATGGAGAATGTTTCAAAGCAGGAGAAGAGATGTTTTGTTACCTAAGTCACTGAACGGCAGTGCGGTGACTCTAGTCGGTGAAGTGAAGACGATTTGACAGAGATAAGGCTCATCTACAGTTTGCGTGTGGTTACTGCAGGTTTGTGTCATTGTCTTAGCTCAAAAGCAATTTGGTTTATGTTAAAAACAAAAAAAAGCATGGTTTTTTAGATTTTTGACTTTAGATTTTTGACTTTTAGTTTTTGTTTTTAAATTTGGGTTTTTTTTAACTTTTGGGAAAATCGATAAATTGTGATAGTTTCTCTGAGTTATAGGGAAACTAGTTTTTACACAAGAGACAATTAGCTAATCTATTCTTTACATAAATAATTGTACATTATGAATAGGAGGCTGAGTGATTCTATTGATTAGAGAGTTTACAGATTATATATAGAATTACAAGAGGCAATTAAGTATTAGAAATTGACTAATCTATTCTTTACATAAATACTTCTACATTATGAATAGGTAGTGACCACATATTCTTCAAGAGAAGGGGATAGACTCGCGAATTGATGATATAATTAATTCTACATAATCTACATAAAAAAATATGCATGTATATTCTCTAAAAATAAAAAGAAAGAGAAAATGTATATCCGTGAATTGATCAGCACGAGTAGTCTTCTTCTTAACGCCTTAGACTTCTAGTCTTCGTCTTCGTTACGCATTTATATCTGCAAGAGAAAAGAGAGAAACCTCCATTAGAGAGTTCTTGTTAAAATCTTTGAGAGATTGAATTTTTGTAAGCCGAATGTAATGATTCGGGCCCGGCTCATTTAAATAAGTTTAAATTGATTAATTTGGTTACATATGTCACTAAAGTGCACTTATTTTTCGGTCACTGATCCCGAGAGAACTCCATAGTTAAGGGTGCTTGAGCTGGAGTAGGACTAGGATGGGTGACCTTTCGAGAAGTGATTCCCAAAACCGTGTGAGTGAGGCCAAAACACGGGGATAGATCGTGTGGTGATTGTAGGATCAGTAAATAAGTCGGTTGGGGTCTGAGAAAAATAACGCACCGACTGTCGGACAAGGGCGGGGCCCACGAGCCCGACGGAGGGATGGATGACTCGCCGATAGGGGCGGTCGGGAGCGTTACAAGTGGTATCAGAGCCTGGGAAGTCAAACTGGTTATGTCCCAGGAGACTGTCTTGGAGTTTGGGGGTTAAGGCTCACACTGTTGGGATCAGAATTCGGGGACGAATTCCCGTTTAGTAGGGGAGAATTGTAATGACCCGGGCCCGGCCCATTTGAATAAGTTTAAATAGATTAATTTGGCTACCTATGTCACCAAAGTGTACTTATCTTTTCGGTCACTGGTCCCGAGAGAACTCCACAGTTAATGGTGCTTGAGCTGGAGTAAGACTAGGATGGGTGACCTTTCGGGAAGTGATTCATGAAACCGTGTAAGTAAGGCCAAAACACGGGAAACGATCATGTACTGATTGCAGGGTCAGTAAATAAGTCGGTTGGGCTCCGAGAAAAATAATGCACCGACCGTCGTACAGGGGCGGGGCCCACGAACCCGACGGAGGGATGGGTGACTCACCGGTAGGAGCGGTCGAGAGCGTTACACCGAGTCTCACACAAGATGTAACGGTAATAATTAATTTTAAAAAACTCGTTAAACTCGTGGTGCCAAGATTCTTTAGTTACAGTTTCTTGTTCGTGATCATGTTCAATATTGTTCTTTCATTCTGTAGTTGAAGAAAAAGAAAGGAAAAGAATGAAAAAATAAAATTAAAACTCAATTTGAGTATATCAATATCACAACTTCTTGGGGGAAAAGACACCGAAGAGAAAAAAAGGAATATACAAAATCAAATTACATTTCTTAAAAAGTTCTAAAAATCCCATCACGACCCGAACTGTTACATTCCATAGTCACTGGTTGAATTACTATACTCGTCGGTCACTTTGTACCCTCAAGTTCCAAGTGGCACATTCCTATTTTTTTTTTCTTGTCTTCATTGTCTTGGCTCGTGTCATAACTTGTCCACAATGCTGTGGCCCAGTCTGGTTCCTTCGTTCAGATCTAAGGAGGGTACGTTTCCATCTAGCACACGCACCACCTGCTCGTTTTTTACACCAATTAATTAGCGTTATTAACATTCTGAATAACTAATATAGCAGCTAAAAGAAAAAGTTGCCCATTGTTGGGTCAAGTTCATTTTAATTCAAGTAGTCTAGTTTTAAACAGTAAAGTATGCAGTAAAATTTTGGGGATAGAGCATAAACACCAAAATTTATTGTTCGATATTATTAATAAAGTTCGGTTCGGTTTCACTTTATCAATAACAAAAGTTTATGTATTCGAATCGAAATAATTTGGTTTATTTGGGTCAGTTCGATTTCAAAACAAAGATAGTGAAACTAAACCGACCCAAATAAACCAAATGTAATAAACGGTCATATATTTACATATTTACTTTAATCGTATATTATGGATAGTGCATTGAAGGCGTCCACATATAATTAAAAAACTCGATCTGATTGGTCCACATCTGCATATTTATTAAATAAAAAAATATTAAATATAATTAAGATAGAAAAAGTTGATTTAATTGGTCAACATCAGATTTTAAATCAAACCAAAAAATTATTAAGTATAATTAAAATATTAAAAGTTAATTTAACAAATTATGTCCAACCAAAAAAAGTAAATTCAATATGATTGATCCAAAATCAACATATCTATAAATCAGAAAATGTTAATATGGTTTAAAAATTTTAAAGTTAAATAAAAAAAATTAACAATTAACAATACATGTATAAAAAAGTAACTATTATCAATTATCAATTTAAAAAATCCACAACAACTCGATTTAACAATTAAAAAAATAAAAACTGAATAAAAATATAACATAAAACTCTTGGAAGACATGATGGAGAAGGAAAAAATGGTTTTGCATGATCATTACAGCTTTCTAACAAAATTAAATGCGAATCAACATCAATCATAGATTATATATGCAATGGTACACAACATCAATAAGACTTTTAATAATAAACTAAATATTTGAACACATAAACCTTCAAGAAAAAAAAACTATAGAAATTCTATGGAAAATAGAAAATAATACTAAAATCTTAGCAAGATTATATTTCTTTAAATCAAATATATATGTACGTCAAATTTGGATAATTTGATAGGTGTCATTGTTATTAATTTACCTATTTTTTAAAAAAGTTTATAAATAAAATAGGATAAATTACATATTATATATTAAATTCTTTTATATAAATGAAAATTTCTATAAATATATTATATTTTTAATAATTTTAAAGATATACGCTAAAAAAAGTTAAACCAAAATATTAATTCAGACTCGCGCGTAGCGCGAGTTATATATCTAGTAATATATAAAAATTGATGGCATAGTGCATTGAGGGCGTCTATATGTGATTAAAAAACTCGATCTGATTGGTTCACATCAGCATATTCATTAAATAATAAAAATGTTAAGTATGATTAGGACAGAAAAACTTTATTTAGTTGATCCACATCAGCTTTTAAATTAAACCAAAAATTATAAAGTATAATTAAAATATTAAAAGTTAATTTAACAAATTATGTCCAACAAAAAAAAGTAAATTCAATCTGATTGATCCAAATCAACATATTTATTAAATCAGAAAATATTAATATGGTTTAAATTTTTAAAAGCTAAATAAAAAAATTAACAGTTAACAATACATGTATAAAAAAAGTAACCATTACCAATTATCAATTTTAAAAATTTTATAACAACTCGATTTAACAGTTAAAACAATGAAAACTGAACAAAAATATAACATAAAACTCTTGAAAGACATTATGGTGAAGGAAAAAAATGGTTTTACATGATCATTACAATTTCCTAACAAAATTAAATACGAATCAACATGAATCATGGATTATATATACAGTGATACACAACATCAATAAGACTTTCAATAAAAAAAACTAAATATTTGAACACATAAACCTTTAAGAAAAAAAAGAACTATAGAAATTCTATGGAAAATAGAAAATAATACCAAAATCTTAGCAAGATTATATTTCTCTAAATCAAATGTATATGTACGTCAAAGTTGGATAATTCGATAGGTGTTATTGTTATTATTTTATCTAATAGTCTTTTTAAAATTTATAAATAAAAATATGATAAATTACACATTATATATTAAATTCTCTTATATAAATGAAAATTTCTATAAATATATATAATTTTTAATAATTTTAAAGATAGTAGCTAAAAAAATAAACCAAAATATTAATACAGACTTGCGCGTAGCGCGAGTTATATACCTAATAATAATAGAATAGCAGAATAGCTGAATAATAAATTAGCATAATCAATAGGATGAGTAAACTGAAATTTTTTATATAACTTTAATTATACAAACTATAGGGTTGAATGGTATGTAATTTTTTCATGTTTTTACATTTGAAAAACATGATTCCACTAAATATATATCATTCACAATATTAAGCATTGAATGATAAAAAGTGGAAATTAACATACTATTTCTTCATGTTTGAAATTTATAACTAGTTTAGAGAAGAATACATTAATCTAATAGATACTAACTTTTTAGCATTTTGAGTTTATTCAGTTTTCAGTTTACCTATTTTATTGATTTCGCTAGTTTATTTTTCAATTATTTTGCTAATAATTGACATATCAGTTAAATAATTGTAATCAAAATACATTAGTTACTTATTTACTTTTTGGTTCAAAATCACACCAAACCAAAAACTGAACCGAAGTGGAAATATTTTGGTTATAATTCGGTATACATATTTCAAAACCAAAAAACCAAAATGCCCATCCCTCCTAAAGAAAAGAATGATGAAGTTACCTGGTCCATGTTAGGTCTACTGCGAGCTATATGGCGAACACAAGCTGCAGCACAGGCAACCATGCGAGCCATCTCTTCTTTGTCATACTCATTATTCAGCTTTGTATCAACCAAGCTTTCAGAGTTGCTGTCCTCAAGTGCTCGTGTAAGCAATGGTCGTGCCTATTCCAATCATTCATACATATCTTTCTGCTTTATTCAACTGTCAAATTGTAAAAAATCTTAATTTGCAATTATATTAATTACCCAATCAACCAGGCTGTTATCTGCAAAGTCATTGTTTGCATCAACAGGGCGTCGCCCGGTTATTAGCTCCAAAAGTACAACGCCAAATGAGTAAACATCAGACTTTTCTGTGAGCTTTCCGCTTCCGGTGTATTCGGGAGCCAAATACCTATAAATTCCCAAAACCAAAAGTTTCATAAGTTATACAATATGGTAATTAACATACATTGTGCAAACTGTATAAATGTGCATATTTAGTTTTAATATTTACCCAAAGGTTCCCATCACACGTGTAGATACATGAGTGTTTGTGTCGGGAACAATCTTGGCAAGACCAAAATCAGCAACCTGAAAAATAGAAGAGGGTTAGGTGTACGAAATTCAAAGATTAGTTGGGTTAGTTATCTTTGATTTACTTTGCTTGTATTTAATCTTTGGTTTGTATCTATTTTACACTTGAATGAATGAACTATATTTTCCTCAAATCTGATTTCTCTCTAACAAACACTCATGGAATCTCATTTGTTAAAATAGTCTTCATATAATGCCTTAATGTAAACATTTTTTTTGTAAAAGTCAAAGAAGATAGATCATATACCTTTGCTTCAAATTTGAAATCAATCAATATGTTTGCCGCCTTGATATCACGGTGGATGATTTTATGATTGCCTGAAAATATATATACACACGTATGTCTCATAATCAAACACTGGTACATACTTTTCATATATTAAAACATTACATATATACAATTTTCATGAAGATACGACAATCCTTTGGCAGCACCAATTGCAATCTTCAATCTTGAGCTCCATTCCATCGGAGGCCTTCCCTTCCCTGTCCCAAAATCAATTCACAAAAAAATATATATATAAATAATTGAAAACAACAAAGCATGCAATAATAAACCCTAGAAGAGTTTTAGTTTTGGTCTAACCATGGAGGTGAAACTCAAGATTGTTGTTAGGAACAAACTCATAGACAAGCAATCTCTGATCACCGGCGATGCAGTAACCGACAAGAGCAACCAAATGCTTGTGGTAAACTCGGCTAATGATTCCGACCTCTGCCTGAAACTCTCTCTCTCCCTGAGCACTCCCAGCTTTCAACTGTTTCACGGCGATTTCTTTTCCATTACGCAATATACCTCTGTACACATATCCGAACCCGCCTTTTCCTAACCAATTGGCTTCAGAGAATCCATTGGTGGCTCTTGCTAGTTCATCGTAACTGAAAGTGCCTTGATAGATGCCTAATGCCATCCCTGGAGATGATGGAAGAACTGATTGATCCGAGTAGTTTGAGTCGTAGCCGCTGCTGCTGCTCAGGAAAGGCGGTGGCGGAGGAGGTTGTTGTGGTGGAGAGGGAGGTTTAGGTGGTGGCAGTGACGTTACCACATGATCTGAAGGTTGTGATGCATTTTGTTGCTGCTGCCCACCGTAAGTGCCTCCAGCTGAGAAACACAGGAAAACGAAATATGAAAAAAAAAAAGGTTTCTCTATGGATCCCTTAAACATGTTTGAAGATGTCTAAAGAATGAACTATCATTTTCCCACAAATATTGCAAGATTTTAGACATTCAAAGAAAATATAGTTCAAGACTCCGATTTCTTGATCTAATCTAATTAAGATCTTTGTTTAACCTTTAGGAGCAGGATGTGCTTCATGGTCTCTTCTTCGTTTCTTCTTACAACGGAACCAAATCAAAGTCAATGCAACAAGCACAGCGAATCCTCCCCCGATGGCGATCCCGACCACCACCCCCCTTGATAACAAACTGATTTTAACTGAAGTGAACTAAAAGATCAAACCAATCTAATCTTAATCATCTTTTGTTCTTCCATAAACTTATATATTGAAATCTACGTTCGTAGTTTTGTTCTATTAACAAAAACCTCACATGCTTATAGTATGTTATATGATGATTTCCGGATTTAAAAAAAAACTACAGTCTAATCTTCTTCAAATTTCATAGAGAAACAAAAAAAGAGAGAGCTTTCAGTTGCAATTTTACATCCAGATCAAATATGATAAGAAAATTTGTGTGTGTACGAGACGACAGTAAATACGAGTGAGATAAGAAAATTTGTCTACTTATTGCAAAGTCATAAAAGATTTAGTAGGAGGAATACCCAAAAAAAAAGCAAAACGTTTTTGTTTTTTTTAAATCAATTAACATCTGAGTTGAAATGAAAAATCTTTCAAAAGTTTTTAGTGGGGCTTCAGGATAATAGGGCGTCACATGGGGGAATTATGATTATTTGGTATAACATTATTATGCACATTATTATTGGCATGACATTCGCTGGTCTCACCTTCTAATATTCTCTATTTTATAGTTTTTATTCTTTTTTAAATTAAGCTGTCATTGTCAAGTGTCAAACTCAACGTACCAAAAGGAAAAACACACATATACAACACAAGCTAAGATAAATCTTAAGCCTACCTTCGACCCATCGCTGCCTGGCCATTCTCCTTAGCTTCGGTCCAGTCCGTTTTTTGGCTTTTTTCCCCCAAAAGAAAAGTGCTCTTTTTTAAAAAATAATGAAAATTCCATTCCATCGTAACACACAATGAGTGATATTTTCTAAAATTTGCAAATATACTTTCTTTTTTTTTGGGAAAATGTTATGGCGTGTTTGGACTTTGGAGGATGAATTATGCATATAAATAGTTTGAATTAAACATTACTAGGTTTTATTTTATTTTGCATTATTCTCTAATTCTCCGTCAAATAATGAGCAACCTTATTAGTTATTAGGTATCTTTAAAGCTCAAAAGAGTTGCTCAAAAATCGACCGAAAAAAAAGAGTTTCTTTGTTTTAATGAGTTTCTGGCAAACATAATGTAATCCGAAAACCTTTGTGATTTTGCAGACTCTTTAAAAAGATTGCATTTGAGTTGGCTCTAAAAGATATTTAAAGCTTTGTTAGTAAAATTTGGAATCATATTCTCTTGAAAGCCATATGTGAAAGTCGTCTACTACTGCTATTGTTTTTCCCCTATACAAAGACCGATATCGACGATTATAGTAATTACGTTGTAAATGACTGATTAGGTTAATTAATAGCTAAGCTGTGTTTAGGAAAGCGCCAGGAGGTCCACATAAACTCACGTAAGGGTAAAATCGTCTTTACATTTTCACCGCAAAAATAAATAATGACGAGGAAAAAGAAGAAGAGACGCCAAAGAGAAGACTTAAATGCCGACGAAAGAGGAAGACGCGGAGGTACTCTCATTATAATTAAAATCTTCAAATCTTTCTCTCCTTCTTCTTTCTCCGCAAAGAGTTCCCACTGAATCTCTCCAACTACATTTCCTCCGGAGAATCCTCTCAGAGCAAAATCTCCCCAAAATATCACAATTTTGGGGAAGAAAAGAAAAACAATTCTGGTAGCTGAGGCTGTGGAGGATCGAACAATGAACCGACAAGTCGGCGTCGGCGGAGGACAGCGGCTGAGATCCGCTAGACCCACCACGATTCACGATTGCGCTCACTCCGGCGACCTCGTTTCCTTGCAGAGACTGCTCAAAGACAATTCTTCTCTTCTCAATGAACGAAACCCCGTCGTATGATTTATCCCTCCATTTCTCACCACTTTCTCTTTTCCTGTGTTAAATCCCTCTAAATCTATTAAAACCTGATTTGGGTCTGTGTTAAAATTTGTCCAATTTCGGAATCTGGTGGAAAAATTTGAGCTTCTAGTGATGAATCGATCATCTTGATATGCCCATGTGCGAAAAAAATTGAATTTGGTCTTGAATTGAATTGGTTTTTGATTTGGAATTGCAGATGTATCACACGCCACTTCATGTTTCTGCTGGTAATGGCAACGTTGATATAGTCAAGTATCTCCTAGATTGGGCAGGATCTGAGAAAGTTGAGCTTGAAGCAATGAATACTGTAAGCTTTTGATTCTTGTTTATTTGTTCCCCCTCTCTCTGATTCTTCAACTTTGATTTTGTATTAATGCTCTCTATTAATGTCTTTCAGTACGGTGAAACTCCATTGCACATGGCAGCCAAGAACGGTCGCAATGAAGCTGCAAAGCTACTCCTTGACCGTGGTGCTTTCATCGAAGCCAAAGCCAGCGTAATCTCCTCTTTCTCTCTTTAGTCATCTCTCTTCTCATTGTAATGTTGACTGATTCGGTTTTTGGTTTATGTAGAACGGTATGACACCATTGCATCTTGCGGTATGGTACTCAATTACCTCGAAAGACATCTCAACTGTTAAGACACTGCTCGACAATAACGCAGATTGCAGCGCAAAAGATAATGTAGGATTCATCTTCTTTAAGCTATTGGTTCGTTTTTGTATCTGTTGTCTCTTAAGGATTTTTGCAATTTTTACAGGAAGGGATGACTCCTTTGGACCATCTACCACAAGGACAAGGTAGCGAGAAGCTAAGGGAACTGTTGCGATGGTTTCTACAAGAGCAGAGGAAAAAAAGCGCGCTCGAGGCTTGCGGTAAGACGAAAGCTAAGATGGATCTTCTTGAGGAGGAGCTGTCCAATATCGTTGGCTTAAGCGAGCTGAAGACACAGCTGAGGAAATGGGCTAAAGGGATGCTTTTGGATGAGAGGAGAAGGGCTCTCGGGATCAACATCGGAACAAGAAGACCTCCTCATATGGCGTTTCTTGGGAATCCTGGGACAGGTGAGGTTATGGTTTCTCTGTCTTTACATTAGAACAAAGCATGACACTGTTCTTAGCTTGACACATTCTGTTTCCAACAGGTAAAACCATGGTTGCTCGAGTTCTTGGGAAGTTGCTTCACACGGTTGGGATTTTACCGACTGATAAAGTAACAGAAGTGCAGAGAACAGACTTGGTTGGTGAGTTTGTTGGTCATACAGGGCCAAAGACGAGGAGAAAGGTGATGAGATCACTATTCTTGATTTTTCACTTTCGTGGGTTTAATTTCCAAGAATCTTGAATAATCTTTCGGTTTCTTGACAGATTCAAGAAGCAGAGGGAGGGATTCTCTTTGTGGATGAAGCATACAGGTTAATACCGATGCAAAAGGCGGACGACAAGGATTACGGTCTTGAAGCTTTAGAAGAGATCATGTCGGTGATGGACACGGGGAAGATCGTGGTGATATTCGCCGGATACAGCGAGCCAATGAAGCGTGTGATCGCATCGAACGAAGGGTTTTGCAGAAGGGTCACAAAGTTTTTCAATTTCAGCGACTTCAGTGCTAAAGAATTGGCTCAGATACTTCACATCAAGATGAACAGCCAAGGACAGGACACTCTGTTCTATGGTTTCAAGCTGCATGAGTCTTGCACTCTCCAGGAGATTGCTTCGGTGATTGAGAGAGAGACGACGGAGAAGAAGAGGAAGGAGATGAACGGAGGATTAGTTGATACTTTGCTTGTTAACGCGAGGGAGAATCTTGATCTTAGGCTTAGCTTTGAATGTGTTGATACTGAGGAGATCTGTACAATCAGGTTGGAGGATTTAGAAGCTGGGCTTCGAGTTTTCTCGCAGTGAAGATGATTACAGATTCAAGATTCTGATGGTTGATGATATAATTGGTTAGTATTACATATTGTATTGATTCAATTCTTTACATTATCCTATTCTTTATGTTTTGTCCTCCTCTAGATCTTTGTAGGAGGAAGAGAGAGAGAGGCTATGGATTTAGCTTTTCTCATTGATCTATTTTGTGTTGTATAACAACAATATTGCTATTTTGTCATTTCTTTTTTTACTTTTTCTTTATCTTGTGAGATGTTTTCCTATTGATATCGTTATGGATGATTTGTTTGGGTAATTAAGAATCTATCAATATACTTTGATTCGAATCCAATGTTTTACCCGATTTATTAAGAGTAAGAATCTATCAATATACTTTGATTTGATTCGAATCACTACCTTCTTCTTTTTGTCAACCGATTTAGTTAACCCGATAATGTGTTTCAAAAAGTGGTTTATATTGGTTTAGGAAAATTAACTAAATTCAGATTTTATGATTTTAAAATTAGCATTCAAATTTTGTGTTATTGACTAGGTTATTAACTCGCGCTTGTATCAATAGGTTGGTTTAATATTTTTTTAGCTATCATCTTTAAACTTATTAAAATTATAATATATTTATAGAAATTTTTATTTTTATAAAAGAATTTAAAATATAATGCGTAATTTTCTCCTATTTTTATTTATAAATTTTAAAAACTATTAGGTAAAATAAGAGCAATGACACATATCGAATTATCCAACTTTGACGTACATATACATTTGATTTAGAGAAATATTTTTTTGTTAAGATTTTGGTATTATTTTCTGTTTTCCATAAAATTTCTATAGTTTTTTTTCTTGAAGGTTTATGTGTTCAAATATTTAATTTTTTTATTGAAAGTCTTACTGATGTTGTGTACCATTGCATATATAATTCATAATTCATATTGATTCACATTTAATTTTGTTAGGAAGCTGCAATGCAATGATCATGCAAAACCATTTTTTCCTTCTCCACCATGTCTTTCAAGAGTTTTGTGTTATATTTTTATTTAGTTTTCATTGATATCTATTTTTTTACAGTCTAATATTTCATAATTTTAGCTTTTTTAGGATCGGTTGTGTGGAGTCTTTATATTATTTTTTACTGTTTTTATCTTTTGTGTGCAATATGCACGCTTTGATTTGAATATTTCATCTACATATAGAAATTTAAGTTTGATTCATAATTATGTCATACTTTATTATTTAAATAGAATTTAAAAATGCGTTATTGATGTTGATTTAGATATAAGTAGTGGCTATGTATAGAAATCAGATTTTACTACTTGTTAAATATCAAGTGTAAAGTTATTATAGTAATTTTTAAATCTGAAACATCAAGTGTATTAATCATTGTATATTTAAAAATATGTTTAGTTTAGAAACTCATGTAAACATATTGCAGCTTTTATTCATTGTTGATATTAATACTTTAGAAATCATGAACTTTTAGAAATTAATTTTGTTTTTATTTTTTTTTGATAATTTACGTCTTTCGATAGTAATTTTTTATTTATTTTAGTTCATATTTTTTATATGTTTGATATACTTAGGACTTATATTCTTTTTATTAAGCTCTTTTGTTGTTGATTTTCCAAATATGTATCATAGACATCACATTAATTTCTTTTATACAAATATTTTTCTTTTGTTAAATTTGTTTTTTATATTAATTTTAATTCTAGTTATAATGCTGATTTGATATGCTCTAGCTGTTGAATTTAAATCTTTGATGAAATTTTCTAAAAAGATTATAACATCATTTGTTTATTTTTGTTAAGATTTTTTATATTGATTTTTAAAAACTTTAGCCCAAGTTAGTTTTCTTTTATACAACTTTTTCATTTGTTAATTTGCATCTTTTGATAATGATTCATATTTTATTTTGAAACATAAATTCATAACATTTTGAAAGGTAAAAAAGCTTTTAATAAAAACATGTTTAATTTCTCATCATATTATAATAGCTTTAAAACAGTTTAGTTTTATATATAAAAACACAATAGAAAAACAAAGTATGGTGAGGTATATGTATATGAGCATACTTATCAGGTCAAATAGTCAGTAGTTGCTTTAATATTTTTGTCGAAAAAAATCGGATGGAAGAAATGGAGTTTAAAAATAATACTTTTACATGATGCAATTTAAAATAGTGTTAAAAGTTAAATAAATCTTACTATCTAATTTATTTCAGGATTTATCATATTTTCATAAAAATAGTAAAACAATGGTAATTATATGATTGAAATTACAAACCTTAAAATGTTTTTGGGTTCATAATTGTGGCTAGGAGCACGACAGGTTTAACAATATTTTTTATTATTTTTCTTTAAAAATTGGCAGAAGAGTAACAGGAACAATTGGCCTTTTGAAAACAAATTTTCATTTTATTTTGAAGGATACTATTTTATTTTTGTTTTTAATATAATTTTTTTCTATTTGTTAGTTAAACCTTTTTTATTTTAATTTTTTCATCTATCAAACGAAATTAATGTTTTAAATTTTGACGGATGTTATATTTTGGTTTTTTTAACACAATTTTCTTTTCAATTTGTTACTTAAGTTTTTTTCTTTTGATTTTTCTATCTATAAATCGAAATCAATGTTTTATCTTTTCTAGTCAATTAATTTAGAAGTTAAAATTTTCTTTATCTATATAATAAGTTTGAACTTTTATGAGATTGGTTTTTTTTGTTAGTTTAACTCTTTTGAAAACAAATTTCTATTTTATTTTTAAGGATACAATTTTTTGGTGTTTTAACATAATTTTCTTTTCTATTTGTTACTTAAACTTTTTTATTTAATTTGTTTATGATTAAAACAAAATTAAAATTTTAATCATACTTAATATTTTTTTGTTTAATGAAAATTGCTGATATGAACCAATCATATCGAGTTTTTTAATCATATGTGGACGCCTTCAATGCACTATGCCATCAATTTTTATATATTACAGATTTTATGAATTTAAAAATTATATTTAAATTATGTTTATTGATTAATGATTTAAAAAGTATAGAATTGTTTTTTAAGTGGATTTGAAAGAATTTCCATATTAAAAATATAAAAACTTAAATTCAAAATTAAACCTATAATTTTATAAAATTAACATGTTAAAATCAATAAATTTTATAAAGATTCTATAAAATTTTAAATCAACAAAATACATAAACTAATAACACCAATAGGTCCAATACAGTAAAAAAAATTGCTTAAGTAATTTTGTAAACATAATTAGGAAATTACTGGTTTGAATTATAGTTTGGAAATATCTATAAAAGTAAAAGAAGAAGATACAACTTGGAAACAGTGAACAACCTCTTTTGATGTCTCTTCCCTTTCTTTTGATATTTTGATTTGACAAGAAGTCAATATAAACAACTGAAAATTGGCACTAAGTGTCAAAATAAGTACTTAATTATAGAGACTTTAGAATTCATAAAAGAAAGCACTTTTAAGGGACAAAGATTGCTTGGTTAAGAATTGAAAAACTCTTTAATCCAATCAAAATCGCACACATCAAACATCCAAATGCACTATTGTATTGTTTAATAGGCCATCACCAAGAAACCAATTATCCTCCTAATACAAAAATCTACCAAATTAAGTAATGCATAGATTATGTAGATTTAATTTTAAGAGGACGTGGGTCAAATGCAAACCACATGTTAGGTGCATTATACAAATTTATATGCTTTGAATAAAACAACCATTTATAGCATCAAAGCATGGTCCTTAATTCGCCAGATCCTAAGACCATCTCCATTGGTTAAACCCCTAATGGGTTTTTAACTAATTTTTAATATAAATTTTATATTATTTTATTTTAAGAATCTTTGTAACAAATTTTAGTTTTTTTATTCTCCATTAGCAGAACTCTTAATAGGGTCTTTTAAGAATAAACAATTATATTTCAAAAATATAAAAGAAAACAATATAGAAAGTGATCAGTTCGTGTCTGACACACGACCAATCACGGACTGACACACATGGGTTTTTAAACAATTCTTAAATCTCTAAGTTAACAATCGACTCTTATCAATTTAACACATTAATAATTTTTTTATTAATTTTTTAACTTAAAAAACTCTTTAAAAAATCCTTAACAACTGCCGATGGGGGTGCTCTAAGAGACAGTGACCTCCTCAAAGCGGCGAAAGACGGTTATCTTTTTTTCTTTTCAATTTTCAAATATTTGTACTTTCCTTTTTAGTATATATTTCCATTATTATCGAATCATACGTCTTTGAGTTGGACTAGAAATACTCTTCTGAGTACTAAATGTGGATAGCTAATCCATAACCAATAGTTAATTTTCTTAGATAAATAATAGTAGTACTGTATAAACTAAAAAAAACTAAGGACAGCTTTTCATAATGGATACTAGACCATTCAAAACTATAATATTCTACAATTCAATAAAAGATTTCATTGATCTATTGGTTATTGCTCTATTAAGTTGGAACAATATATAGCGAACAAATTTTACAAAAAATTAAATATTGAAAATCAAAACTACATCAAAATGAACAAAATTTTCTGATATTTACAGATTTAATTTTTTGTTTATATTCTTGTAACATTTGGAATCCGGCCATACACATTAAACATGTAAAGAAGGCTGATCAGTAAATATTTAATTCAAATCTGTTACAACTGTAAAAAAATTAACGAAACAATCGTAGTTGATCAATCGATCATGAATAGCAACGACAAAATTGCTATAGTTTATAACTTTACATGATGTATGCGTATCGTAGAGCCGACAAATAGTGTGGGACCAGCACATCTAAAAAGAGATCTTGACACTATCTGGTAACGACACGCGTCCATGTGTGTGAGAGATCAGGTGGTCCATGCCGGTCCAATTAAATCAATCGTTTTTGTAAGAGACTCTCACTTCACCCAATGAGTGTTTGAAACGTTTTGAGCCGACCAAAGTCCCGTGGCTTAACTGTCACTTTCTGAAAATTTAACAATGCATAAGCATATCATTGTAAAAGTGGAGAGCGTCGTGTTGGGGATATGCTTTAATCTGAGTGGGTGCTTCGTTGACTTCTCAATCTTTATCTCATTCGATTGATGTCGCTTCAACTACGGCAAGTAGACAGACAATGTTTCTTACTTCTTTTACAATCAGCACTAATTAGCTAGCATGTGTCATGTGTGTTATAATTTACTCCCTCTGTTTCATAATAAGTGTCATTTGAGGAAAATGTATTTGGATGTATTAAACTCAAACACATCTAAATACATCCAATTACAATGCAGACACATTTTCTTCAAATGACATTTATTATGAAACGGAGGGAGTATAAGATTAATCTACAACTCTATATACTCTCTCTCTTTCGTTGTTTTAAAAATTTTACTTTGTTTCAAAATATAAATTATTTTTATATTTCTATGTAATTTTATGTATTAGATAGTTTATGATCATCTTTCTCCCTACTCTTAAAAAAAACTCAGTTTGTGTGTGTTTTAAATTTCTAACCGGTGACTGTGGGTTTACATAACCATAGCATCGGTCTGGTTTTTTCTTTTTTGTTATTTGGTTTTTAGATTCTAACTATGTTAGATCTATTTTAGATCTGATTTTTATAGGTTTGGTGGAGCTTGCTTTATCAGATCTGTAACATATCTGATCTGATTTGATCTTCTTTGCTGGTTTTAGTTTTCGTTTTCTAAACAGTTAGTTTGGCTAATTTCATCTTGGTATTCTGATTTCAAACCTGCAGTTTTTTTTTTCTTCAGTTGATTTTCTTTGAGTGCTTTTCAGCCTAATTTTCTGTTCTGAGTTCGGCTTTGTTTGGCTGCTAAGGTTTCAGTTCTCTCCAGATCTGTTATGATTTGGTTGTTTTCTTTGTAACTTCTATTTAGGTAAAAATGGACACATGTGTCTGTGTCACTATGGTTCTTTTTTGCTGGATTATGAAGTCTTCGGTTACTGATTATAGAAGCTGATGTTACTGTTCGGTGGGCCGTGGGCAGCAATAGTAAATTTCATTCCTAGATTTCCTGAAGTTCTGAAAATTGCAGATTTTGGCGTGGATATTAGTTAAATTATTTATGTTTTAGTTGTGGGTTTTGCTTAAGAGAAATTTTGTTTTCCGCTGCTTTATTTATAATTTTTCTGCTGACTTAATTTTCAGAGACATCTTGTTGTTCTGCCAGCTTTGGTTTACATCTTTGTATACTACCTTGTATTCTATCTTGTATTTTACTTTTGATGTTTAATATCAATAGATGATAAAAAGATAGTTTGTGATCAAGTATAATTTTTATAATTAATTTAATTATATTTAAATAATATATTAAAAATACTTTTTTAAGTATTTTTTTAGTATTTCTGTATCTATCTAAAATAATTTACAATATAGAATAAAGAAAATATCATTTTAAAAGATCCGTTAATATATTTTTAATCTTTGCTTAACACTACACTTAAACGACTTTTGTTTATAAACATGACTCAAAATCTTAACTGATTAGTTTTTTCTAAAAGCATAGGTCATTCTATAGAGATTTACTTGGCATCAGAATCGGATATACAAAAAAAAATTTTACAAATGTTTTATGAAATGGATATCCGGTGAAAGAGTCAACATAATATTACATAAACCAAATAACAATACAAATGATATTGTATGTCAAAGTAGTGTTAAATGATACCTTAACTATGATATTACTAATTTTATACTCTCTATTTTATTTTACGTGATCACGTTTTCAAAATGAAAATACAAACTTAAAAACAAAATGTAACTGCAAGTTTCTATCGTGATTCTAATTATCACATTTTTACAACATTTTTAGGTTTTGAAACTTTTTAATATTGCTTCTCAAAGGAAGCATTCCTCCAATATAAAAAAAGTGCCAAAAAGTGAAAGCCATTTGGATAATTTATAATACTATTTTTTTTTCCAACATAAGATATATAAGATTAGCATAAAAGTTGAATACAAATCCAGAATATAATCACAAGAAAAAAACTAAAAAGCTGCACCGATAATAGATTATACAACCAACTAAATAAGCAAATCACGACAAGGCTACATAGTAAAGCTCCAAGCAATTAACAAGAAAAAACAGAGGCTGACACTTTCTCACTTTCAAAGATGTAATGAAGCCATGCAGGCTCACCTGAAGCAGCATACGATTGAAAACGGATATCCGCTGTTGCACTCTGAGCAATGAGAAAGGCACCTCTGTTTCTATGTCTGATTTCAACTTCTGCTTTCCAATCCTTGATCAGATCCAAAAAAGGAAGAAGAACCAAATGTTCCTCTTTCAAAGATGGCCACGCCTTAGGCCTATTCAAAATACTAATCAGATTTGGAATCTCTGCAGCAAAGATCACCTGATTAAACTTATGAAAGCCAATGCTTTCAATCGCCCATACCAAACAACACAATTTTGCTTGGTCTAAACTCTCCACATTACTAAAAGCCCTCCTATTATGAATCATGACTCCACCTTCATGATTTCTTATAGCACCCATGAAACACCTGCAACATTCTTTTTCTTTAACCATGAAAAACCAACATTGCACTTTACCCAATTGCATGGTGGTGGATTTCACTTTACACCTTTCCTAGTTTCTCGAAGATCCTCCTTAGCACTTGCTTCTGATTCCATTTCCTGAGCAAGGAACCAAAAATTTGTTTCGTCTCTGATTTTCCAGATAGTTTCAAGATGACAAAACTTTTGATTTTCAAAAAGAAGTTTGTTTCTATTTTTCTATAGAAACCATAATATCCATGGGAAAGATCTACGCACCATCAAAGGAACCTGAATATTTTTTCTCATTTGCATAACATAATGCACATTCACATATATAGAATCCGGATGGAAACCTCCGATAGGAGAGGGAAAATCTGAAAGAGCCCAAACTTGTCTGACTACCGAACATGTAAACAAAACATGGTTGGCCGATTCACCTTCATTTCCACAAAATTGGCAGCATGAGTGCACTTTTATTCGCCTTCTGGATAAGTTGTTAACAACTGGAATGGCTCCACTCAACATTCTCCACAAGAAGAATTTAATTTTTGGAGCTGTTAAGAGATTCCAAACTTTTTCCCTGATCCCATTCAGAGAAGGCATGAAAGCAGCTTCTTCAAATAACTCCTTCTTGGAATTGGTATGAGCCAACCAATACGCAGATTTTACTAAAAAATCCTCGCTTTTATTGAGATTCCAACACCAGTAGTCATTATGTCCTATCTATTGGTTTTATCTTAAGAATCTGAACTATATCTGACGAATAAAAAAACTGTCTAAATTTTTCCATGTTCCACTTTGTATTATTCTCCTCTATTAGATTATTTACACTCAAGTTGAAATGGATCAGGCAATTTTTCATCAACAGAACTCAAAGGCAATTATCTTTGATCCATGAGTTAACCCAAACTTTAAACGTTTTTCCATTTCCCAGATACTTGGTAATACCTTTTTTTATCAATGGAGAGTTTTTGTGCTCTTCTATTGGCCAGAGACCATCGTTTGGTGGAGAAGTATTTTGTTTGGTAAAGAATTTATAATACTAATTTTAAAGTATAACATTATAAAAATTAAAGTCGCCAAATAAGTGAAGGCTCTGAAGCCTGTTTTATTGTTATTACAAAAGAGAGAGGGCTTTAACAACATAATTCAAAAATAAAATAAAAACACCAAAGTAGATCAAAATTGTTGTCATTGCAAAGTGTGAATAAGTTACAAAATCCCCTCGAATCACTTAAAAAACAAAGTCAAACATATGAACTTTTAACAATACAATCGAAAAATATAAGTACTGTCAACTTTTCTATAAAATCGATATGACTACAGACTCTGTCTCCCTGTCCTAATACTCACGTAACTAACAACTATCGATCTGTCTTTTTTCCTTTTCTTTTCTTTTATTTTTCTTGTTATACATAAATAATTAAGAAAGCCAAAAAAAAAAAAAAAATCAATAACAAGAACCAAGATCATATATCATGTGAAGCTAAAAAAAAATCTAAAAACCACCTCGAAACAAAGAAAACGGATAAGGCGGTGTTTGTGGATTTGACTCTACCACTCCTCCAAACGTCGCCGTTTCATTGAACCTTGTTTCTCCTCCGTGAATACTCCCACATCCTCCTCCTCCTCCGTTAACGCTCTCCGGCAACGATAACGTCGATGTTAACGATGATGACGTAGACGAAGATGAAGTCGAGATCATCGAGCTCGCAACCAGACCTGTCTCGTTGTAATTACCAAACTGCCCCTGCCTATGCATCGGAACAACCCACCCCAACGAACTCTCCGGCGACTGAGTCCGGTAAAGATTCTCCGGCGGAGACGGTGACGGAGAGATAACACCAAACACCCTCCCGTTTTCCTCCTCTTCCTCTCCCATTTCCTCTGATTTCACCGTCACACGACGCTTCTTCTTGTCGGAGACCTGCTTCGTCCTCTCTTTCTCAAGCATCATCCTCGGGAGGAGATCAGGATCCTCGACGACCTTGTAGAGAAACGCCATCATCTGCTCCGGTCTCTTCTCCGTCGCCTCTATCCTTTGGTTCATCCTCTGAATCTCCAACTCAAGCTCCCTCTGCTCATCTTTCAACCTCTCGATCTCCCTCACTATCTCTCCGTCCTCCAAATCTTGACCGTACATCATCCCCCGTGCGTGTTTCCTACGCGCTATGTTCTTCAGCAAATGCTTCTGCCCTCTTAGAAAATGCTCGTTCGCAAATTCCCATCGATCTGGATCCACTTTCCTAAACCCCTGAAAATAAATAAAAATCAGAATAAATTAAAACTGATCATTGTTTTAATCATACTTAAGTCATTAGAGATATCTTTTATCTCCAAAACCCAAATCTAGACAAAATCTCCCGAGTCTGTAAAGATATCTACAGACTCGAAACTGTGAGATTAGTCTGGATTTTGGTTTTTGGTAATGGAGATTAGTGTCGATTTTGGTATTTGGATATTAGTTTTGGAAGAGAGAGTTGAGTAATTACATAGGTATTGAGCTGACGAACGAAGCTGCTGAAATTGTTGTGTTTGAAGTAAGCAGGCAAGATCCGTTGAGAGAAGTCGAGAGGGTCAACGACGATGAAGCTGTTGTGAGCAGGTCCCCAAGTTATGAGCCAATCGGTCGAAGGGTCGTTGACCATCTGATATGTCTTCCCAACGAAAGGTGCGATCACGTTGGTGTTGGTGTTGCTATTGTTATTGTCGTCCTCCATTTTTTTTCTTGCTATCTCTCTCTCTCTCTTTTCTTTCTTTATCTCTCTCTCTTTTTCTTTTGCGCTTTATATGTTCGCTGTTGGTAAAGAAATTAAGGAGCAAGCATGAGGGTTTATATAAACAAAAAAATATAGGGAAAGTGATATGAGGAAATAGTAGTTTAGTAGTAAGTGTTGACAGTGAGACGGTGTGACGTGGCTTGCTTTTGTGATAACGTGGCAAGTTCGTGTTTTGCTTTTACGGTGTCACGGACAAACTGTGGGACCCCCCTACTGCAGGTGCCCGAAAGCTTCAGGGTTCTAAAAAGTTATTTTTATCAGGCCATGTGTGAGATATATCATATATGCGTACTAGGTTAAGTTATTCTATCCGTTCGATTCGTTCGAAAATTCAGCCATGATCTGCAGAGGAACGGATCACTCATTCTTCAATTGGGACAAGAGCACCAACGTTATTAACTGATAAATTCTTAGCAACTCTTTTTACCATTTCAAGAAATCTTTATGAGCCTTAATTAAGCATATATATTCTGGTCTGATAGTCAAAACTCTGAGTCCAAACAGAGCAAGCATAGGTTTACGGTTCTATATTTATATATGAAATTTCAATTTTTATTTATTAAAAAGTATTTTTAGTCTAATAGCAAATAATCTCTTCTTTTTAATTAAAAGTCATGAGTTGAAACTTTACATATGTAAATTTTTTTAAAAAAATAAACTAATATAAGTCACATTTGGTTTGAGCTTGCGACCTGTAAATTTTCAGGGCCGACTCTGCTAATAGTGACCTAACTAGTCTGATAGTGAAGTTTTTATGTAAAAATTAGAAATCCCTAACAAAGAACTCCTATTTTCTTATTCATATCCATGGAACGCCTCGTAGTAAAAAGCCACAAGTGTTGCAACTAGTAAGAGTTATTATAAATTGCATAAACATAATTAAGCCACTTCTATGGACAAATTAAGATTACTTGGTTAAGAATAAAAGCTCTTAGTTCTAATTAAAATCACACGCATCAAAAGGACAAAGGCACTACTATTTTATTGTATAAGCCACCACCACTAAATCCAATAGCGATCTTTGAAAAATTTCCCACTTAAAAGTATTGGATAAATTAGTGTATACTTAAAATAAAAGGACGTGGGTCAAATGCTAACCACATATTACGTATTTATAATACTATATGTTGTTTGAATAAAACAACAATTTATTGCATCAACGCATGGTCCTTAATTCGGCATAACCTAAGAGACAATGACCTCCTCGAATCAGTGAGAGACAGTATTTCCTTTTTCATTTTTAAAATGTTCGCTCGCTTTTCTTTTTTTTAGTATAGATTTCCTTTTTAATCGAATCTTACAACTTTATATGACAATGAATAATACTAAATGGGGTTAGCTAATCCAATAGGCTATATAGTTTTTTGTTTGTTTAAGCGACGACTTTCTTTTCAATGGAGACTGAATATTTTCTTAAGTGATATCTTTGAATTCAATAGCAAAATGTTAGAAGGAGATTAATTATTTGATCACTTCTTCATTACTATTAATTCTATAGCTAATTTGAATTTGACAGCAAATTACTAGACAAATTGAGGAAGTATCATAGTTTTTTTTTTGGGGTAAAATGTTAAATGGGAATATCATAGTTGATAATATATATATATATAATAGCTAAAAGCATCATAAAATAATAATTTGGAGACATATCTCCCCCACTTCAAATAGTTGTTGTCCGTAACGAAAACAAAGAAGAGCTCTGGATGGGAATATCCAATAGAGTAATGTAATAACTAATAAACTAATAACTCTAGTAATAAGTGTGAGATGGTGACGAGGTATGGCTTTTGTGATAACGTGGCGAGTTCGTGTTATGTTCTTATGCGGGACCCATACAGGTGCCCTAAATGCCTTAGGTCAATTGCTTCCCTTAGGTGACAAGTTATTGGTCCAGCGATATTATATCTGTTTAGACCTTTTCAGAGAAATTAAGAGCCAGGAGGTGCGCGTGGGATACTGACATGGTCCGCACTGGTTCATTGACGTTGTAACGAGTAGTTACTTGACACGTTGTGAAGAATCTTGCTGGCTATATGCACACTCGAGTGTTTTTTTTAGGGATAATTTAATCATTTCTAGTTCAGGATTATTTAGCAAATGATTTTGTTTGTTATATATTTAACCGAAATATTATTAAGAAATTGATATATTAGTACGGATCAATTGGTTTATGAGGCGAATTATACATCATTTCATACGTCACCCCTACAAGAAATCAATTATGTTGTATAACTTATTTTTCTTATTAACATCATTTATTGATTGATGCAAATTCAATTGCATCATTTAATTAAATAACGCTGGAAATGGTAATGCTAATCATTTATATTAATATTATTACTGATGTAACTATTTTTATCATTTATATTAATTGATATTAATATGTATTATTTATAATAAGTGATATTAATATTTAAATCAGTTAATATAAATGATATTAATATTTACATCACTTAAAATAAATGATATAAGTATTTGCTATCAGTTAATAATAAATGATACTAAAATTTATTTCACTTATTACAACTGATGTAAAATATTTATATCAGTTATTTTTACTGATATAATAATTGTATTACTTATGAATAAATGATGCTAAAATCAGTATCAATTTTCGTAAACGATAAATAGAATTATATAATAATATTTGAATCGTTTATTTAAATGATGATAACTTATGTATCACTTTAGCAAATGATATTAACATATTATTTTTGTATCACTTTAAATTTGTTATCTAATACATTGTACATCATTTTAAGTGATATTATAAAACTAGTACAATTTTGAAATAATTTGAATAAATTTAATAAAATGTTAAATAAAAATAAAATAATATTTAAAATGCAATAACCAAATAATAGTAAAAAGTAAAACAAATAATCCATAACATTATATGTTTAAATAATATAAAAATAAAAAACTCTTAAAATCAAATTCTACAATAAAAAATGGCAAATCATCCTTTGCATATCATCTAATCCTCATGATCGTCGTTGTCACTCTGATCGTTGACAACAATTCTTTCCTGTAATGAAAAAAATAACAGAAATCCAATAAATCATCTAGAAATTCTACATTTTTCATTAAATTTAAATCCATATGCTATATACCTGAGAAGTTAGCTGATTCGTTATACTATCAAAATCATCTGTCAATGGAGTTGCCTGAAACACGAGTTCAAAATATTAAGAATCCACCAAAATATCTTAGTGTCATATAATCTGAAAATGGGAAATGCTATAATCAAATTACCATATCGTTACTTTTAGTAAGCAATTTAGTGATAAATGCCTTCAGAGTTCCAACCTCGTTTTGCAATGATGTCATCATTGTTTTCATCTTAGCTGTTTCAACATTTGCAGCCTCAGATCTTGCTGCAGTACTACGTTTGTATAATTTTGAAGGTGTAGGTCCACGACCAATGCAACGCACTCTCCCTGAACGCTCACGACCAAACACTCGAGAATAGTCATCATCTAAACAAGTTGAAACATTGTTTGAGACTTGTGTTGATGGATTTTGAGCCAACAAAACTGTAAGCTCATCCTAATCAATACAATTGTAATATAAAAATCATGTTCAACTCAAATTATATAACCAAATAGATAATAGTGAAAATATGGAAAAGTATTTAATCAAAAGAAACTTACGGCACGTTTTTTAGCTTCATCTGATACGAAACTTCCATCAGCTTTTTTGCGAGTCGTAATGAAAAACTCTGCTCGGCTTGGTGTTTTTCCAGTCTCGTTTGTCTTAGTTTAAATCACATGCAAAAACAATATATAATATTACTTTACATATTATACAACATCAATACCATTAGTTCGTAAAGACAATTGATATATAAAAAGATTGTTACTCACAATTTGACGTCTTTTCCTAGTGAAGCTCTTTCTTCCACATATATGAGGCGTTGTGTGTTTGCTTCGGCTTTTGGTATTTCGGTCTTGCATTTTCTGCATACACAAGTGTCTATTAAAATCCATAATAAGATAACAACTCTCAAGTATATCTAAAAAATTTAAATTTAGTCTCTTCGAGAAAGCACCTAGAAAGCTCAGAACATACACAAACGAGTTTTTACCCTTTGGATTTAGATCTCGAGGCTCAAAACCTATATAATCAGGTAAATACAGTTATACCTTCCATTTTTCAGAAAACCTTGTGGAAACAAAGTCACGCCATTGATCTACAGGCACATGAGGGGGACGATTTGCTAATGTTGCAGCAGGAGTGTTTTGTTTGTATTTTTTCCAAAGACGTACTTTGAGATCCTTACATATGCTCCCTAGAACACCAATCACATAATCCTTTCTTGCCATTGGATCATCAAACAAAAACTTTGCCTAGATAAATTAAGATAACTTTGTCATTATCTATAATTCAAATATGATAATTGCAATACAATAAGATAAATACAAATATATGTGAAGATCAAAATATTATTTTAAGTGTTACCTGGATTAATTTCCATGCTGTATCCTTTTTACCAGGGGAATATGTTCTCCAATCACTATATTTAATGGGTAACAAGTTCACATCAGTACTCAATTGGCCTAACCATGATCCAAGTAGGCCTCCAAAATCTTCATCAGGTTGACCGCTATCTTCATCGAAGTGAACAATCACTTTGCGATGTTGTAACTTCCAAACATCTCTGGTTGTTAGCATTTGCTCTTCTATGTTTTCATGAGCATCATCTATTTGATAAACATATATAACTCAAACATTTGTATTAGCATAAGAAGAATCCAACTAGCTTATATAATAAACAAAAACAATTATCTCCAAAAACATTTTTAAAATCAATTGGATATAATATAATTTTTTATAGTACCTATCAGTCGAACACTCCATTTGAAACTTTTGCATTCTTGAGCAAGTGGAGGAGGAGAGTTATTAGACGTCTCAAATTCCGGCAAATCATCAGGAGCTTGTGTCTCAGAATCTGTGAAATCCTTCAGTCTACATAAAAAAATTTAAAAAGCATTATTGAAATACTAAAAATCATACGACATACAAGGAAAGAAAAGCAAACACACTCATCACAGTAAGACTAATTAACAGCTATTAATCTCAAGATCATCTGCTATTGAGACTCACAGATTCATTGATAAAAATAAAGTAACATGATTAAAAGCTGAAACCTACTTGATGGATCTTCACTGATAATGCTAAAAGGATATAGCAACTAAGAAAAGCTATGACTAAAAAAAACTAAAGCTCTACATCAACAGCCGTGACACATGAAAAGTCAAGAGGATTTATAGAGATCAAGTATAAACGATATAACTATCCAGAAAAATCAAGAGGATAATGAATCTGTAATCGATTCTTAGCACACAAGAAATAGTAAAACGAGAAGAGAGTGTTTGATTTTTGTTACCGTAATTGTCGATTTCAGAGTTGTGAACTCCTCTCCCTCTTTTCCGAGTTCTATAAAAACCCTAAAACCAAATCATATTGGATATAGTTATATAAACCAATAATTTCTAAAATTCAATATATTCCCGCTTACAAATGATTTCCCCGGGGAGAGTAAATTGAGAGAATTTATTTTCCCGCTAAAGAACTTTCTTTTCTTGACAAAATACATATATTCACACATTAATACAAATAACGATTTTGTAGATTTGCTAAACCAAATAAAGCTAAATAAAAAGAAAAAGAGCGATTTAAAGAAATTACTTACAAGGATTCTTTCTTCCAGATGATTTAAATCCAAGAAAATGTACCACGGGTATTCAATCCTCAGCTGCTTCATCAATCACCATCATTAGCTAGTAGAATAATCATATTTACTTGTAATCAAATTATAAGTAACAAAGAACAATATAACGATTTCACGATCAAATTCATATAGAACATAAAACTTGCAGAGTAACTTAGAATCAAATAAATAGTAATTAACAAGAAAGCAAATTACAAATTAATTCTAGTGTTACGCAAGACATGGTAGAATGACACTTTAGGCATCTTCTTGAACATGTAGCTCATCGGATGGATTTGGATCACCCATATCATATACATCTCTCGGTTGAACATGAACTACGTAATTCCATTCTTTCTCATGAGGGTCTTGAACATAATATACCATTCTTGCTTGTGAAGCCAACACATACGGCTCATCATCATCATTATCCCCTGTATGTATCAGACGTGTAACATTCACCAACCGATGACCGAAAGCATCCGTTTTATATCCCCTGTTATTACGAGTATCAGCCCACTTGCACTTGAACAAAACAACTCTGAAAGTCTCATAGTAGTTCAACTCAATTACTTCAACCAATTGTCCATAGTAAGCTACATCTCCTACTCTTGGGTTAGGATCACGAGAGCTTGCATAACTCATCGTTTCAGCTTCGACACAAACACCATTGTTCTGTGTTTTGAGTTCATCTTCTCTTTCCAATACTCGAAATTTGAACCCGTTGACATTGTAGGCTGAATACTTCACAACTCTATTGGATGGACCTATAGCTAAGCACCGTATATCATCAGTGATACCATCAATGTCATTTTTCTCTACTTTCTCTTTGATCCATTTAGCAAAATTTAGGTGTATTTCTCTGTCAATATCAAGAGCACGACTCCTTTTGCTTCGACTAGATTGTTTCCTTGCTAGCTCATTTCTGTATTTCCTATATACAAAAATAGATTAGCTTTCTACATATGAAATAAAAAAATGTGATTGTCAAATGAGATAAACGTACTCTCGTAAATCATCAAGAAGTTGACAACTAATTAGTATGTGTCGATGTGCCTGGAGCCTCTCTACGTAAGTAAGAGTATGAACACGACCTGCTCCAACAAATCTACCAACAGTTGGGAAAATAGCTGCAAGTCCAGAATTTGGTCTTATACTATTGTAGACTATAGGTTGATCATCAACACGGCCACCCCTATTAAACCGTGTCTCTATGTCGTCAAGATACATTGAGCAGAATGTTATACACTCATCAGCTAGATATTGTTCACATATAGAACCCTCTGGCTTGGCACGATTACGAACATATGATTTGAAATGTCCAAGAATCCTATGTATTAGTGAACGAAGTTAGTGTCGATCATATAAGTGAATATATTTTATATAAAAGAAAATAAATCACCTCTCAATTGGATACATCCAACGATATGGGACTGGTCCACCTTGTTTTGCTTCTTCAGTGAGATGTACTACTAAATGTACCATCACGGTGAAAAATGATGGAGGGAATAGTTTCTCCATTTCACATAAAGTCAGCACAATACGCTGTTGTAATTTGTCAAGATCTTCAATAACAAAGACATTTGCAGATATATCTCGGAAAAAGTGGCATAACTCAACAATGGTAGATGTAACTTCATGTGGCAGCAAGTTCTGAATTGCAATCGGCAGCAAATCTCTCATTATCACGTGGCAGTCATGGCTTTTCTGGCCTGATAACTTTCTGTTATTGATATCAACACACCTAGACAAGTTAGAAGCATAACCGTCAGGAAATTTTACACATTTTAAAACATTTAGAAAAATGTCTTTTTCATTGTTGTTTAGAGTAAAACAGGCTGCTGGATACTTGTCATTATCATCAGGCCACAACTCATGACGAAGACCAAGCTCTCGGTGATCTTTTCTAGCATTCAGATTGTCTTTTGACTTCTCCTTGTCATCCAAAATTGTGTTGACTAAATTGTCAAACACATTTTTCTCTATGTGCATAACATCCAAGTTATGTCGTATCAAAACAAACTTCCAATAAGGCAGCTCAAAAAATATACTTCTTTTTCTCCATTGTTGTTCATCTTTATCACTCCGACTTCTCTTTCTCCCAACCAAACCATCTCCTTTACCTAGTGTAACATTAACTGTTTCAAGCTGCTGCATAATTGTAAAACCCGAAGGTGTAACAGGAGGAGATCTAGTTTCAATTGTTCCATCAAAATCACTCTTATTTTGACGAAAGCTATGATTTAGTGGAAGGAAACGACGATGACCCATAAAACAATTTTTTTTCCCATGGCGTAAACGTAGTTTAACGGCATCATAATTGCAACTCGGACATGCCAATGCTGTATATGTATTCCAACCAGACAAATTTCCGAGACCTGGAAAATCACTAATAGTCCACATAATGGCTGCTCGCATATCAAACATCTGATTTGTAGAAGCATCTAGAGTCTTGATCCCATCAAACCATAATTCTTTCAGCTCTTTGATAAGCGGCTGCAAATACACATCAATATCATTACCAGACATTTGCTTTCCTGGAATAATCATAGAGAGAATCATCGATGTTTGCTTCATTGACATCCACGGCGGAAAGTTATACGGATATAAAACTACTGGCCAAATACTATAATTTGTACTCATTGTACCAAATGGATTAAATCCATCAGACGCCAACCCAAGTCGTACATTTCTTGAATCAGATGCAAATTCAGGATGCTGCAGATCAAATGCTTTCCAAGCCTCTCCATCTCTAGGATGTCTTAGCTTACTATCATTGTTACTACCACTTGCATGCCATCTTATATGAGCAGCCGTTTTTGATGACATAAATAAGCGTTGTAGACGTGGTTTCAGAGGAAAATAACGTAAAACCTTTGCAGGTAGTTGTTTCCTTTTCTTTTCTGACCCAGACAACTCAATGTTTGCAGAAGGTTTTGTCTTCCATCGAGATGATTCACAGACTATGCAAGTTTGCCTATCTGCATTTGATTCCCAATACAGCATGCAGTTGTTTGGGCATGCATGAATTAACTCAGATGTCAAACCCAACTTACGGATAACCTTTTTCATATCACTGAATGACTTTGGCAATTTTGCATGAGGAAATGCTTCTTTAAGCAAATCGAGAATCAATGATATTCCCTTGTCGCTTATCCCACACATACACTTGATATGATACAACTTCAATATGAAGGATAACTTAGTGAAGTTAGTACATCCTTCGTATAGCTCTTGATTAAAATCAGCATGGAAGTTGTCAAAACTTTCTCCCCTTTCACAATTTTCCGCTGATGGTGCTAGCATATCTATGCTCATAGGTTGCTCAGGCAAACCAGACCCTTCATATGCATCCATGTTGACATTAGGGAATAGATCATTCAAGAGATTCGAAGTTGTAGTAGATTCAACATGATCATTGTTTATTTGAGAAGGTAATCCTGTGGTATTTTCTGTGACATCAACATCTTCTCCATGCAATACCCAACATGTGTAAGAACTTAGAAAGCCAAAACACATCAAATCTCCTTCAATGTCTTCCTTAGACTTCAATTTAACTAGAAAGCAGCGAGTACACGGACATTTCATCATCTCTGCCTTTGAATAACCAAAGGCAAAATCCAAGAATTTTTTCACTCCTAATGTATAGTTACTGGATAAACGAGATTCGTTTATCCATGATTTGTCCACAGTTACGTCTAAAATATCTAGAACAGAAAAAGAAGAACCCAATGAAAAACGTAATTTTACTTTAGCAAATAAGAATTAAAAATTTAAATATATCTTGTTAATGAAAAGTCAAGTGTTAGTCATGTTAAAAGATTATTTGCTGTTTTTATGTAAAATATTAGATGCATCGTTAACTTATTAGAAATTCATAAAAATAATCAGTTTTCAAACCATGGTACGAAGATTATGAATCTGTAATCAAATCCAAAATAATCTATTTTTCAATCCTAGCACAAAGGAAAAGTAAAAGAAGAAGAAAAAATTTGATTGTCGTTACCTTATTGGCAGTGGCTCTAAGATTTCTGAACTTTTCTCTGTTTCCCCTAATTCTGGAAAAACCCCAACTCCTAATAATTTTGGGTGAACAGAATAATTAACAAAAGGGTGATTAAAATCAATTTTAACATTTAGTCGAAAAAAGGAAAAAATGGTAACTTTTTTTTTATCGGCGAAAAAATGGTAATTTAAAGATTTAATTTTACCTCGTTTTGATATTCCTATCAGAGTCGGCAATTCTCTCTCTCAGCTCTTCGTTTTGCTTCTCAAAGGACTTTGGCATTCTCTTGTGCCTCTTAAGACTTAAACTGGACCTCCTTGATTATTCCTCTTAATTGATCCTTTTCTTGGATGCTTTCTGCTCAGATTTAGATATACACAATTCCGGTTAACTTCTTCTTCTTCCAAGTTCCCTGATTCAGCCATTGTGAATACAAAATCTTGTTCATTGAGATAATTGACTGTCTTGCTTTTGCAAATAATCTACAAGAAAATGAACAATCTACACATAAGAGTTCATATAATGTGTTCAGAAAAGACTAAATCGCTTAGCTCACAAAAGAATTACCAATTTCCTTAAATCAATTCAATAACTCAGCCATTGTCTGAATTCTAGCCATGTCTCACAAAAGAATTACCAATTTCCTTAAATCAATTCAATAACTCTTTCTCCATTGTCTGAATTCTAGCCAGAACAAAAGATTTAACACTGCCAAGGCAAATTATCCATCGATTTTGATTCCTAGAATCAACATAGATCCAGAAATCAAAGTTAAAGAACAAAAACTCACCTTGGAGAACAAATAGATCTTGGAGCAATCAAGGATTCTTCAAGCTCAAATCTTGAAATGAAAGAGCAAATATTGAGGCGGAGAAGAATCAAAGACTCAATTGAAAGAAAAATAGGAGTCATTAAAGATGAGTTTTCTGCGTTAGTTAGATCTCACTTTTCAGTTTGGTGAAGAATTCTTCTTCTTTTTTTTTCTTTTTTTGTCAAGCAAAGATCTTTATATGCCCGCCATCTCACTATTAATTAAGAGAAAACTTTTCAATTTCTCTAGAAACAACTTTCTTATTCGAAACTCTTTTTTTTTTTGTATGCAAGCCATCTCACTATTAATTACAAAAAAGTAATTAAATGATTTATTAATATTAAGTATTTTTTTAAATCGATACTGATTAAGTTAATGTTAATATGAATATCTTATAATTGATGATAATCAAGTTGATATTATTATCAACATTTAATAATTGATGCTAACAAAATTACTATTAGTATCAATGTTTCTAACTGATATTAACCAAATTAGTATTAATATCAATTTTTAAAAATTGATATTAATCAGTTTAGTATTAGTATCAATTGTTTTTAATTGTTGCTAATCAAGTTAGTATTAGTATCTATTTTTATAAATGATATTAATCAAATTAGTACTAGTATCAATATTTAATAATTGATGTTAATCAAGTTAATATTAATATCAATATTTTTAATTGATGCTAATGAAGTTGGCATTAGTATCAATATTTTTTATTGATGCTAATGAAATTGGTATTAGTATCAATATTTTTTACTGATGCTAATTAAGTTAATATTAGTATCAATTGTTTGTAACCGATACAAATCAAGTTAATATTAATGTCAATCTTTTTAATTGATGCTAATGAAGTTGGCATTAGTATCAATATTTTTTATTGATGCTAATTAAGTTAGTATTAGTATCAATTGTTTGTAACTGATATAAATTAAGTTAATATTAGTATTAATTAAATAACTGATGTAAAATTTTATATTTAGTGTCAATTTTTAATAAATGATTCTTGACACATTATAAGTGTAATGCAATATAGTTATTTTCTTGTAGTGCACGGGAAGAAAAGCGCACCCTACAAAGAGGCAAGATATTTATAAAATGATTATAATTATAATTAATTACTTTGTTGAGAGACACATAGTACCATAGTACACTAACGGGGCCTTGATTAAAACAGTGCAAGCTGAAATAAAAATATCTTTATAAAAATATCTACAAGAATGATGCAGAATGAGACGAGAATATGATAAATAATAATCCTTATTATTGAAATACAATTTGCCTTCAAGTACAACTTCCTTTTATGAACTTTGCTTTAGTGATCTAAATACTCTGTGTGTAATAAGCAGATATTATTGTTTGGTCAGCGCTTGTCAGTTTTTGTATGATGAAGAAAATATTTTAGAATGATTGAAAACTGTGATTATGATTGCCTCTCAATACAAATTGCTTCTTTTTACCTAAATGAAAAAAGATACTTTAGCTTGTACCAAGGGAAAACGAATGTTACAAACGGTGGATTGATACTTTTGATTATTCATATCACTATTTATATTGTAGCTTTTGTTTCTATCTATTGAAGTTCATCACTTAGCATTTTCGGAAACGTTTATATTATGTAATTTAATGAGAAAGCATAGTTATCAAAAGTTGATATGGCCGAGTTGGTCTAAGGCGCCAGATTAAGGTTCTGGTCCGAAAGGGCGTGGGTTCAAATCCCACTGTCAACAAAATCTTTTTTATTTTGCTCTCAGAACACAAAACTGATCTGAACCGTTGAATTGAGTAGGTATCATCTATTATCTAACGGTTGATATCTCTGATCATCTTTTATGTTCGTAAAAAACCCAAATCCAAAATCTTCCCCGCCAGTGCAAAATCTCTTTTGCCTCTACATATTTTCGAATTTTCTGCAGAAGTTTCAGAAAAAGTAGCGATTTCGAACAATTTGAAGATTTTCTCAATGGCTCAAGCAGCGAGATTAAGCATGAGAATGCAAAAGGAGATGAAGCTTCTCCTCTCCGATCCACCTCACGGCGCTTCGTTTCCGCACCTCTCCTCCGCCGCTTCCGGCTCCAGCGACTTCTCAACTTTCTCCCAAGGCGAGACTTTGTTTCTTCTCCTTGAGGCTTGTGTTGATATGTTCATGCTATACGTGTTAGCTTTACTCTTCTGGCTAGGGCTATTGTTGATTCTTTCTGAACATAAAATTCCCTGAAGTTTGAAATTCGTGTAATCCATCTTGTCTGTGTTCTATCCGTGACGGTTCTTGGCTTTTGTTGATATGTTCAAGCAATTCATGTTAGATAAAATCTTGATATGCTCTTCTGACTTAAAACTATTGTTGATTCTTGTTGAATATAAGGTCTAAGAAGTTTTCAGCTCATGTAATCCATCTTGTCTATGGTGATTCTTGGATATAAGAATCCATGAAAGTTATATAATTTATTCTTCATTGAGGCTGGTGTGATATGTTGAAGCAGTTCGTGTTAGTTTTGTTCTTCTGACTAGAGCCTACTGTCGATTTTTGTTAGATAGGTTTCCAGTTCTTGTTGTCTATGGTGGTTCTTGGTACTAGGAAGCAAAAGTGTGTTCTTTATTTCAAAGAGGTAACAATGGTTAGTTTCTGATACGAGTATGAGCGAACAGGGTACTTGGCAACCATCTTTGAATATCTCAACAGTCTTGACGAGCATCGGGTTGTTGCTGAGTGAACCGAATCCGGATGATGGTTTGATGTGTGAAGTAGTAAGTCTACTTGCAAATGCTTTACCACAAACTTGTTTTCTCTTTGAGGTTTTTTTCCTTCTGATTCTTGAAGCATTTGTTTGCTGGCCTTTTTTTGTTTCTTACAGCAGGGAGTACAAATACAATAGACAAACTTTCGATTATAAGGCACGAGAGATGACCGAGAAGTATGCAAAGGTTAAGGCTGATGATGGAAGCAGCACCAGCCTCCAAACTCAGCAAAATGCAAACGCGGTTCATGTTAAGGTGCATAATTAGTTATTATTCTTGATACTTTTTTCACAAGATGTCCGAGTGTCTTCTATGAGTTCTGAAGCAAATGTTGATCTTTGCTTCCTTTTTTGTTTCTTTTAGATCTATGAAGATGAAAAGGTTTTTGAAAGTGGAGATAGTGTGTTAGCTGGTAATCACGAGAAGCCTGATGGGATTAAGCTGAAGTTAACAGTGAACCGTGACATTGCAGAAAAGGGTTTATCAAATAACCAAATTCTTTTCTCGAGTTCTAGAGATCAACAAATGGATGACAATGGGAAAAGAAAAACAGCGAGGAGGTAAAATCGAGCAGCAAGAAATCTCTTCCTCAGTCCCAAAAGAAAGATTTGTGTGGCGAAGAACTCAAAATTGGAGTTTCAGCTGCTTGCAAAGAAAACAAGAAACCACATTCATATGGTAAGAATCAGCCACTTAATAACAACTTGGCCTCCTCAAGTTTTCAAACTGCTGCTGCAAAGAGTGACAACAATAGACTAAGCCGAAAACTGTCACTAATACCACCTCAAGAGTCGCAGTTAAGCGAAGAACTTGTGCAAACTCAAGATGAATCCGTTGTTGTTCAAGACAGTGATGAAAGTGGAGAAGAAGAAGAAGAAAAAGTCGCTTCTATGTCAAGATTGTCATTTGTCACTGGCATGAAGAAGAGGCCTCAAGCGTAGACCTTGATCAAAACTAAGAGTTTTGGGGTTGAATCGAGTTTGGAGTATATGAATTTCAAGCATATGATTTATTAATTTTGGGTAAGTTTTTATTGATGAAAAAATAGGTTACAAATGCGATTAATTAATTAGTTACAACCACATACTTCAAGAGGTTGGATGCAATATCCTCCCTTGTCACATAGATGGGCACAATCGGAGTCTGTCTTGCAAGCTGGAGGTGGCTTAGTCGATCTACAAAGACATGTTCCAACATGAAAGTTGCATATTCCTCCGAATTCATTGGGACAATTACGGACACAATCGATGTCTCTCTCGCAAGGTATATTTGCACTATCGGCGACACCTTCGACTTCGACTCCAAGATCTTTTCCATCATTCGCATAAACAAAATGGCTTTCAACGGTTAGATTTTTTTGCATCTATAATAATAAATATTTGTGCAGTTGAAAACGATAGAGTAAATGTTCAAAAGAAATGATGTATGATGATGTTGTTCATTAGTTTTGTTTATTGATAATAATAATAATAAAAAGATAAAAACGTACTAGATGTGATGACCAAAATGAAAAGCAAGAGTGGAAGCTTGAGAGAAACGTTCTTCATTTTCAAGTTTGGTTTAACTATCAAGTTTTAGTTTTGTGAAAGTATGAGATGGTTTCGAAGTATCTAGCCATACACATTTATAGTGTGGTAAGTGGCAATTGGCAATTGGCAAATCCAGTCCGATAAGATTTTAGAGAGTAGATATATTCTTACCAGATGTTAGAACTTACCGAACTGGATTTGCCAGCTTGAATCATATTTTTTTTCAGATATAGAAAATGTGACTTATAATAATAAAATGTATGATAAAAAATAGTAATAAAAAGTATGATTCAAGCTGGCTAAGAGTTTAGATAAAATCAAGTGTTATTAGTAAATACTTACATTTTCAATATTCTAATCATTTTTTGACAGCTTGAATCATATTTTTTATTAGTAAATATGATTCAAATATATCTGTATTTTCTATAAGTGTTTATTTTTATTTGGAATTAAACAGATGATGTTGTGATATAGACTATAGAGTATTATATTTTATTTTCTGATTCTGTTTTGTAAATTTACATATTAGTCATTTGTTTTGTGATTTTAAAAAGGGGGAGGGGGAGGGAAGGAATTCCCAATGATATTGTTTCAAATATATGTGATAATGTGAACACTAAATAATATTTTCATAGTTTAATTATCTGAAAAAGTGAAAACTTTCTGAAAAATTAAAAAAGATATGAAAAAAACTATATGTGTATAAGTACAGAAATTCACAATAAAAAATTTATGTGTTTTTAGTAAGGAAAGAAACTTAGGAGAATTAAGGGCTAGATTCTCTGGAACAGATTGACGATATAAGCTAGCACTAACTGAAATAAGGACTTTGTATTAATCGGTTGAATGAAACGGTTACAAGAATTTTAGTGTAGAAGATGAACTCAAGGAGCTCTGAGAGCAGTTACA